TTTTTAGTTCTGTGTTCAGTTCCTCCTTATCCATTAGGACAAGGTATAATATAGAATTCCCCCAAGCTGGCTGCAACACTTCCTGGGTTGGGAAAATGTCATCCGTAATGTTTTTAGAAATTCAAGGATGTTTTAGTATTGACAGCATATGTCACTCAAATTGAAGCCCCCCATGATCCGGCAGCTTTTTTTTCTGCACATTATAGATAGGTGCATGAGGTGGTCATACTGTTCCCTAGTGTGATCTGTAACAGACACCAACTAATACTCCAGGTTGTGCTTTATTGGTTAGGACAGTGATTCATAAGCATTCCAGATAATTTTCTTCCAAGTTATCAGTGACTCGGAAACAGGTAATGCCATTTTTGACATAGAGTGCTAGTCCCTCTCCCCCTCTATTCACTTGATCTTCCTACATAGGTTAGAATCATTTATTTTAACATTCCAGTTGTGCACATCATCCCACCAGGGTTCAGTAACACCAGCTAGATCAAATTTATCCTCATAAATGAGCAATTCCAATTCCTCTTGTTTATTACCCTGGCTACTAGCATTGGTGTTAAGGCAATTCATGATTTTTTTTTTCTCTTCATGCCCTTTGGTTCCTTGATTAATTTTGTTCTCCTAGTCTTAATTTTGTGCTGAGCACTCAGATCTTCGCTCTTTTTTTACACTCCTCTTTTGCTATTGGTTTACCCCCTCCTGGCTACTCTAGCCAGCCTGTCCCTGGGTAGATTGGAGGCCTTTTTCTGAGGTGGAGGCCATCCAAACTAAACTGCCAGCTCTCCCACAAAATGTGGATCAGTGTTCCACAAAGCCAAAACTTACACCGCTTACCTAGCCAGTGGTTCACTTCCAGAATCTTCTGTCTTCCTTCTCTTGTGGGACAGCAAGCATCTCAGAGAAGATTGCTTGAACATTCTTCTTCTTCAGCAAGTTTCTGAGTTTCCTGAAGTCATCTACTATCTGCGAGATATTTCGTGACTCAGGGTCATTAGTGTGAATGTGAACCATCCCTGATGGCTCCTTACCCATCAACTTCAGAAGCCTATCCAATCTTGGAGTGAAGTCTCCTGTTTTGGCTCTGGGAAGGCAGCACAATGTCCTGTTGTCCACCTGTCCCTTGCAGAATGTTCTTTCAAGTGTTCTAAGTATTGGATCTCCAACAAGGATTGTCTGTCTTCCTTGGATGGCTGGAACACTCTTTGAGGGCAACTCGATTTTTCATACAAGTTGGACTAAGCTACCATCTACATGTGTGTACCATACATCTCTCTGTCCCCTTAGACCTCCTGGATCTTGAGAGGTCTCTTCCAACGTTTCTACGTTCAGGACCTAGTGTCAATTTGAAACTTCTGTCTGTGTAGAATTCTTCCTAGTCCTCTTCTCTGTGATGCGCCCATCCTCATCTGTCTCCAGCTGTGCAGATTGCCTCCGTGATTTCTTGCCTCTGGTGGTTATGAATTCCCAGACCTCATCTCTAACTTCCTCTTTCTCTGACTCCTTGGTGGCCAGCTCCATTTTTCTTGAACCTGGGGTTCTGATAGCAGCTGCCAGGAAAGACCACAACAAACCCATGTATGACATGGTCACCAAGTGTAGGCTGATGAACTTGAAAAACCCCCAAGAGCAATATACCAGTGAGAGCTATGATAATGGACATTCCCTGCTTGCTCTGAAGCAAACAAGACCCATTGCAGATGAGGGCAAGGCTCTTAAAACTTCCTCCAGTCACATCACAGACCCAGAATGGCTGCTCTGCTGGACCTCTTTCCAAATCTGGGATAGGAGACAGGATGCACTACATCAACCCTCTCTACACAGACTACAATATAAGGAGTCTGCAATAATAAGGAAACTTGCCTTCAAAGTTTTATTCCACCAGCCCCAACCTCAGAATTCCCTGGAATTATTATTAGGAGGAGGAGGAGGGTATGCTTTAAGGAGAGGGTAGGACAGGAAAAGGGGAGCTGTTGTGAGATAGGAAAGGCAAGGTTCAGCAGAATTTCAGAATAGCTAAATGTTTTGAAATGGCTTTTGCAAGACATTCTTGGAAAGCAACAATACATTGTAATAACACCAAACCAATGTACAGCACAGAACTCCTTAAAGAGCCTTAGATGTTCCTTGCAAGGAATTGCATTTGGTTAGAGTCATAGAATATCAGGGTTGGAAGGGTTCTCAGGAGGTCATCTAGTCCAACCCCCTGCTCAAAGCAGGACCAATCCCCAATTTTTGCCCCAGATCCCTAAATGGCCCCCTCAAGAATTGAACTCACAACCCTGGGTTTAGCAGGCCAATGCTCAAACCACTGAGCTATCCCTCCCCCTGGGTTCCCCTCACCAGACTTGAATTTCCTTGCCCTTAATTTGGACGAATATGGCAAAAGACCCTTCCTTTCCTTTCCTTTCCTTTCCTTTTCATTGGAAACATAATGAACAAAACTCTCCAGAACTTGGAGAGATGTAATGTAGGGCCCCAAAGGAACTATCTGAGAATATAGCAGAGCTACAGCAAGGATAATATTTGGCACCAGTGTGACCACTGCTGCAATACTATGTCCAGTTCTGGTGCCCACAATTCAAGAAGAATATAAATAAATTTGATTGGGCTCAGAGAAGAGCCAGGAGAATGATCAAAGGATTAGAAAACATGCTTATAGGTACAGACTCATGGAGTTCAATCAATTTAGCTTAACAAAGAGAAGGTTAAGGGGTGACTTGATCACGGGCTGTAAGTATCTACATGAGGAACAAATATTGGGCTCCTCAATCTAACAGAGAAAGGTATAACATGATCCAATGGCCAGAAGATGAAGCTAGACAAATTCAGCCTGGAAATAACATTTTAATTTTTTATTAGTGATGGTAATTAACCATTGAAACAATTTACCATGGCTCGTGATCCATGTTCCCTCTAATTTTTTACGTCCATGTGCAGAATGAATTCTGTTATGTGTACCAATATGCAGCTGATGTGTGGCGGGGGTGGGGCTGAGGGGTTCGGAGTGTGGGAGGGGGCTCAGGGCTAGTCAGAGGGTTGGAGTGTGGGCTCTGGGGGTTGGTTTGGGGTGTGGGAGGGGGCTCAGGACTGGGGCAAAGGGTTGGGGTGCAGGGGGTGAGGGGCTCTGGCTGGGGGTGCAGGCTCTTGGGGCTGGGGATGAGGAGTTTGGGGTGTGGGAGGGGACTCGGATCTGAGGAAAAGGCTTTGGGTTATGGGGGGTGAGGGCTGTGGCTGGAGGTGCGGGCCCTGGGGTGGGGCCAGGGATGAGGGGTTTGGGGTGCAGGCTACCCCGGGACTGCGGCGGGGAGAGAGGACTCCCCCCAGCCCTCTCTCTCTGCAGCAGCCCGGGGCTGGGGGAGAGGTGCATCTCCCCACTGCGCACCTATGCGGCCGTTGATGGCCTGCTGCGTGGCCACACAGATTAGAGGGAGCTTAGGTCATGATGGATTCTCCATCACTGACAATTGTAAAATCAGGATTGGATGTTATACCAAAAGATGTGCTCTAGGAATTATGTTGGGGAAGTTCTATGGCCTGTGATATACATGAGATCTGACTAGATGATCACAATGGTCCCTTTTATTTCCCCCCTGTACTGTTTCTCACATGTTCTTGTCAACTACTGGAAATGGCCCACCTTGATTATCACTACAAAATATACCCCTTCCCTCCCTCCCCCCCCGCGCTGGTAATAGCTCACCTTACCTGATCACTCTCGTTACAGTGTGCATGGTAACACCCATTGTTTCATGTTCTCTGTGTATATAAAATCTCCCCACTGTATTTTCCACTACATGCATCCGATGAAGTGAGCTGTAGCTCACGAAAGCTTATGCTCAAATAAATTGGTTAGTCTCTAAGGTGCCACAAGTCCTCCTTTTCTTTTTATAATGGTCCCTTCTGACCTTGGAATCTATGGTAATCAGGTGAGTTTTTCAATCACTGAGAAAAGCTGAATGTTCCTCCAATCTTTAAAAAGGTAAAGGAGAGTCTCCAAACTATTAATCTGATGTTTAACATAGGTAAAATGTGTGTTAATGACCATATTGGTGAGCAACTAGAGTAGAGGAAAACAATGCATGATAATATCCAAGATGGGATTGTGAAGCACAGGGGCCATCAACCTATCTTTAGTCCACTCCCACCCCCCTTTTCCTTTTTCTTTACATAAAACGGATTGGGTGGATCAGAGGAAGAAGCTATCATTAGCCAGGTATTCAAAAGAGCAGGGCAAGTCACTCTGCTTGACTAGTGTATGTTTCACAAAGAGCTGTACAAAACTAAAAATATCAGATCCATACAGGATTTTCAAAGGCTAATATTTTTATTCATTTCAAGTCTTTCTTGGGCTGTCTTGTTTGTCATCTCTTAATTGGCATGTTAAATGGACCACCAGCTGGGCCAGTTAAACAGATTCCTCTGTATATTTGTGGTGGTTGCCAGCATGTAGCATAAAATGCCTAAAACAATTTGTTTGAACGCTGATAGTGAATATAAAGTGCACTTGGATCTAGGCTTCATATGGTAAGTTTCAACCATTCCGTATTTTATAGCCAATGACAAAGCCCCTGGAAAAGTGGGTTAATAATGACATCACCGGCGCAATCTTTAGTGCAGCATTAGTGGGTACCACGGTAATGTGTATTATGAGGCGAGGTATTTGATTCTAGTGTGTTTGAGCCTATGAATATAGAGTTCTTTGAGGTATTTTGGTATTTCATTTTTTTAAGCTATCCCAGGGCCTGATTCAGCAAAGCACTTAAGCACACGCTTAACAAAGTCCTGCTGACTTCCATGGGATTTAAGCACATGCTTAATACTAAGGACATGCTTAAGTGCTTTGTTGGATTGGAGCCCTAGTAGACCCTCCTGAAAAGAAAGTGATTTTCAATCTAATAAGGTTATCTCAGTGTGAATATTTTAACTACATAAATCAATGTGCCCAGCAGTAGCAAATGACTAATGGGATTATTCTTTCTTTCTTTCTTTGTTACCAGAATGATGAATTGACTTCTTGCCTGTTGCTGAAGATTTTCATCTCCTTAATGCATTGCAGATATGTCGAAAGGACACAAGCTGTCAGTGGCTGGCAGTAACCAGCCCCAACTGAGAACATCCGCATCTCCCTCTGGGTGTATTTCATCAGATTCCCAATCTGCTATTTTGTGCCTCACTGTAGAAAATGTTAAAAAGCTAGAAAAAGAGTATTTGACTGCAAAAGGAGTCCTTAGTAACCAGTCCGTGGAGGAGTACGTTAAGCAGAGTAATCTCTGTTTGCTAGAGAGAGAGAGGAGTGGGGAAGTCAGCAGAGAGCATGTCCCAGATAAAAAAGATCCGGAAGGAGCCATCTCCTTCCTTTCAAGAGAGCTGAATAAAAAGTACAAGGAAATTCACTTGGAAAAGGCTGAAGAAATTTCACACAAAGGCAGATTATTGGCAGGTATTTTGGCTGAGAGGGGGATTTCTTTGTCCTTTTAAAACATGTGTTCAGATAAGGAGAACATGGTTATTTTTGGAAGGCTTTTTAAAGATGCTCTCAGTGCTGATCTAAATAATCCAGGTGAAGGCAACAGTAAAACTCCCACTGACTTTGGTGGGAGCAAAAAGAAAAGGAGTACTTGTGGCACCTTAGAGACTAACCAATTTATTTGAGCATGAGCTTTCGTGAGCTACAGCTCACTTCATCGGATGCATACCGTGGAAACTGCAGCAGACTTTATATACACACAGAGAATATGAAACAATACCTCCTCCCACCCCACTGTCCTGCTGGTAATAGCTTATCTAAAGTGCTCATCAAGTTGGGCCATTTCCAGATTTGTGCTGGAAACGGCCCAACTTGATGATCACTTTAGATAAGCTATTCGCAGCAGGACAGTGGGGTGGGAGGAGGTATTGTTTCATATTCTCTGTGTGTATATAAAGTCTGCTGCAGTTTCCACGGTATGCATCCGATGAAGTGAGCTGTAGCTCACGAAAGCTTATGCTCAAATAAATTGGTTAGTCTCTAAGGTGCCACAAGTACTCCTTTTCTTTTTGCGAATACAGACTAACACGGCTGTTACTCTGAAACCTTTGGTGGGAGCAGTTAGGCCGATCATGAGTGTTTTAGAAAATCCCACCCATGGACCACCTACATCCAGATTTAGGAACCTTGTTTTAGGTACCCAGCTTTGGGAAATGGATCCACAGTTGCCACATAAACAGATGGATTTTTTGCATCAGATATCTTGGGTAAAGAAGGGTGTTGAGCTTTGATGGCGGGGTCAGAACCCAAATCTGAATGCAAACACAAACGCTCTGGGAGGGATTTTCAGTAGTGCTGCACTCTGGCCTAGGTACTCCCACTGAAGTCAGTGGGAATTTTACCAGTGATGGGAACCAGAGTTAGGGCAAGGCTGGGTGCAAATCCCATCCATACGAGGGGCCAAAATGACACCTTGGAACTTTCAAGGTGCTTGAAATCCAGATGTGAATGTTGTGGCTTATGCCCATCTGGAACTTAACAGGTCATTCTGTGGCATACAACCACCAGCAAATTAATAAAAGACAATGTCAGGTGGTGATATCCTAAATCTGTTTGATTGCAACTCTTTTGCTTTATACCCAGCCTTTAGCATTATTTTATTGCTTGTCACGCAATCTAGCCAACTGTACAACGCAGAAAATTGAGGGAAGAAGAGTTTAATTTTTATTTATTTTTAAAGTACCTCTTAAATCACAAAAATCTTGTTTACTTATACTCATTACCGTTTTGCCTCATCACCTGTGTCACGCTGCTTTCAACACCTTTTATTTCACTGTAGTCCCCAATATTCTGGAGTCACTTCGCTATACGTGATTGTCTTTAAAACTGGTAGTAAGAAATACCCAATTCTCCACTCCCTTGTACCAGTGTAATCAGAAGCCAATCCATTGAAGTCATTGGTGTTCTACTGGTGTAAACCCAGGGAGTGAGTGGAAAAACCAGGTCCTGTACTATAAATGCACTAGTTTGCATGAAATAATGTTTTATGGATATGGGATTAAAATTCCAAATTTATTTTGCAATGGGTTGCTCACGTGTGGTCGATAGCCACACTTCTATTTAATTACACACACAAAATCTCTGTTAAAAGAACAACGATTAAGATTGCAATGTCAAGCGCTCAAAAGTTAGAAAATGTGGCAAAAATAGTGTGATTCAGTCTTTAATTACACAATCACATAATGCATATGCATAAGGACACTGAATTAAGGTTTCAGAGGCAACCTTGATTCTGGTATTTCGTAATTTTTGAGAGTTTGACTTAGCAATATTTATAAAGTTCTTTACACACCGGTTTGGAAGAAAGGGTATATAATTTTCTAGATTTTTTTAAAAAGCAATTAAAAAATATAAATTCAACACTCACATGGGTCAATAGCTGGGTTGGAACTTTCTGGAACCACTGCACAGACCTCTGCCACTTGAGCTAAGGGAGTAACTGATAGCAATAGTAGGTTGTTATCCTCTACGTAGACCAGCACTAGAGGGGAATGAGAGACACACTTGGTCAGTGAGTTTCAAAGCTATTTGATGGGAGCAGAGGGATGGTGAGACTCAGGAACTGTGGGTTCAATTCCAGACTCTGGAGGGGAGTGTTCTCTCATGGGCCCAGACTTTTCTTTCTGTTCCTTTCAAACTTGACCCCTTCAGTCCTAGCCCCTTCAACCTGTCCATGTCCTGTCCTTTCTTGCCTCTTCTCCATCCTTGGCGCCTCATCCCAGTCAATTCTCGACTAGCCAGTCCTAGTCTTTACTCCTCAGGCTGCTCATCCAAGCCCCAGTCTCCTTGCCCAGCCAATCCCAGTTTCTCTCCTGCCCCCAGTCCCAGTCTCACCAGGCTTCTTGTACCAATCTCTCTCCTTTCCTTCACCCCTGGTCCAGCTTTTGTCCCCTCTGCTTTAGAATCAGATGGCTTCCTCCTCCACTTAGCATGAATACCAGCAAGACAGGTCACTGAGCACTCAGAGGAGACAGGCTCCCTTTTCTGAGTTCCAGTGACCACGCATCCTCCCCTCCTAGCCCAGAGCACCTGAGAGTGGTCACTAAGGGGAAGTCTGGGCTGCAGCATGCTCTGTAACTGTGTGGGGACTGAGCATGCTCAGTGATGACAAACTTTGGCTTTATAGCTGTTAAAATTGAAGACTTCTCTACTGAGCATGCGTGAACTATGATTTTCAAAGGCTTTATACCAGGGGTGGCCAAATTTACTGACTCTCTGAGCCACATATGACAATCTTAAGAACTTTGAAAGCTGAAACCCCAAGACAGCCCCCGTCCCCGCTGAGCAGAAGCCAAAGGCAACGCGTAGGCGAGGCACGTGGGGTCATGTGTCCTCCCCAGATTTTTGCCAGGGTTTGCTGGCCCCGCTCCATCTCATGATGCCACCAGGCCCTCTCCCTGCATAGGAGTTGCTGGAGCCAGCAAGCCGGGAGCTGTGGCTGTGGGGAGAGGCAACGGCAAACAGTTGGGAGCTGCAGGGACAGCTGCTGCTTTTGCAGCTGCCTCTCCCTGAGGAGCGAAAGCAGCAGCACTGTGTCTTCTGGAGATGTAGCGGGAATAGGTATTTTCCCCTCCACTCTGTGTATTTGCAGTGCACGCCTTACCCACTTCCTTAGAATTACAATAGTCATCTCTGCTCATATACAAGGTTTATTTTCTTAATGCATAAAAACCATTTAAAGTCTCTCTTCTCCACAATGAAATCAAATATTCTTAGCATGCACTCACACGAGCTACATCCTTGCAAGTAAATCCCCCACTGGAATAGGTCAAAGATTTGAAACAATGCTGTCAACTAACTAGAACTGAATGCATATAGTAACCTCAACAAATGCCATTCTGAGGAAGGAAGCTAAGAACTAAAATGTTGGACCATAAACTTTTGACTTGCAATTTAAAATGCAAGTAAGATGATACTCTGTCTGTGGCTTCTTTGGCATAGAGTGTACATGGATGCATGGTAGGTAAAAAAATCAAATATGGGTTTTGGGAACTCCTTGTTTTGGACCCAGAAAGCACAGTCAATAATACAGATTTATACAGACTCTTATCAGGACAAAAATTGTCAAAGAAGGGAAATTCCAAATGTAATTTTGTCGTCTTTATTCGTTGTTCATTAGTGGCGGGGGGTTGTTTTTGTTTTGTTTTTTCAAAAAGAAAAAATGAAATATTTCTGTGGGGAAATATCTCAAAAGGAAGGGGAAAAGCAGGAAAAATATGAAAGCTGGTAAAATAATCTGTAGCAAAAAAAGGAGGAATTTTGCCTTATTTCTTCATGTGCTGACTGAACAACCTACAGGTTTCTCATTGTTTTTCCAGTTTTTAACGTTGGATCAAAAATAGTCACAAATAATTCTTGGACTGTAGATTGTGAATAATTTGTGGGAGAATTCAATATTTGAAATTTGAACTGGTGTGGTTAGATTTGATTGGTCACGTTGATCACATGGTATGCTATACTGTGATCATGTGGTAAGTTTCTGTTTTTTGGTTGGATGAGAGTAACTCTTAAGTCCTGTCTACTCTTCAGAAATTTACAAAAATATTTCATCCCGTTCTAAAGCTGATTATCCAGTAATATAAACAAGCTCTAGCAAAGGGATCCATATTTAAAACCAGTTTAGTTAAAACCACTTTTCAACAAGTTAACTAAACCAGATCCATCTTCCAGAGCCTTGTGTGCACTATTCTTCCAACCGGTCCTAGAACAGGTCTGAATGTCTGTATAATGTCAACCCAACTTTAGAATCAGGTTTTCAGTGTGAATACTCCATTTGCAAACTCAGAATTTCCTGTCCATGAACACTTTTGCTTAAAATTTGGTGTTGCCACAAATATTTATGCCAGTAAACTCACCCACTAAAATATTTACAGAAAGCAGATACAACAAGGGCCTGAACATATTAAAATGAACTCCTCTTCATTTTTAAATGACTGTCCTATAAAGTTTAATATAGTGGATATATGTGCAGCTCTACAACACATTGTTTTAGAATGTCCACCGTGACGTAAAAATATAGGGCCAGAGTTTCATTCGCACTACGGCCCCTTTACACTACTCTAGACGTGTAAAGGGACCTAAAAGTGGGTATAAATTTGCACCAGGTACCCACTTTTAGGTTTCTTCGTGCTGCCAGAGCAGCATAAAGGGGTCCTGGTGTGAATGGCCCATGAAGTATGGGCATTAACATGGCATCCAGGAACCGTTTTTGATTCTTTCAGCTTACCTGTCCAGTTACTTTCAGCACTTCTCTCTTGTGCTTTCTTTTCCCCAGGTGTCTTCTGCATCTTCCCTTTCTTATCCTCAACCTCCTCCCATCACCTTAGTGTATAAACCTCTCTCTTCATCCCCTTGCTGTCCATGTGCCTTTTTCTTCTCTCCCCCCGACCCTCAATCCCTGATGGTCTCTCACGTCTCTCTTCCATCTCCTACTCATTGCTGAATGGCTCTGTCTTCTTTCCCTCTATTTCTCTCTATATAAGTTCCTCTTTTTTAGATCACAACCATGCTTGGAATTTTTCCACTGATGCTAGTGTGGCCTTGGCCACCACGTTGGTCAACATCAGGAATTGAACCAAGGATCTTTGAAGCAGAGTTTCTACAGCTTGAGCTAAAGAGCCAGACTCTCTAGCTGAAAGCTGTAACAGACCCATAGTCTCTGAGGGGTGGGTACAGAGTGGGATGTGTAACACTCACTGACCAGTGGGTTACAGCAGCACCTAGTATAGATGTGCTGCACGCGTGTAAAAAATGGATTGCATTGATGCAGCTCGCCCTGGTTGCAAACAAGGATAAACCACACCAGTGAAAACTACCTCTTACACTGGTGCAACATGTTTACACTGAGGGTTTGTACTGGTGTAAGAGGTAATCCCAAGTGTAGACAAGCTCTTACAGTGTGTCTGTAGTGCAGGTAAAGATGGGATGGTAGCACAAGGAGGCATATCCATGCTAGCTTCAGTCTAGATCACCTAGGTAACATCAGCAGTGCAGATGTCGTGGCCCTAATTTCAGCACAGGATAGCAACCTGCAAAAAAGTCCTCCAGGGACCCTGGGCACCTACTCAGGTTGCTCGCCCATACTGAAGCCCATGTCACCATGCCCCCACTGCTATTGTTACCCATGCTATCTAGGTTAAAGCTAGCACAGGTATCCATGCTAAAATCACACCTTTCACTTGCAGTGTAGGCATATTCATGGGCTACATCTACATTCCGAGCTAGCATGCTGGTTTCCTCTGTTCATGTATGCATACACAGTAGCTGTCATCCAACTATTGTGGGTGTAAATACCAGTGTAGCTGTGGTAACATGGGTAGCAGCAGCAGAGGCCTGGCTGAGACGTGCCATGTACCCACCAAGTTGCAGGGTTTGTACTCGGCACAGCTCAGTCATGGCTTGACTGCTGCTACTCATGCTACTGTAGCTACACTGCTATTTATACTCACGCTAGCTCTCCCTGAGCACCATCAGAGGATGCTCAATCTCAGCCTCTGTGCTCCTCAGAACCACGTGTAACGCTGACAGACCGCGGTCCTCGATGGGCAGGATCGAACCGGGGGCCTCTGGAGCTTAGGTCATGAGCCTCTATAGCATGAGCTGAACTCCAACTGGCTGTTAGCTAAGGCTGTAGAGCAGACTCATTTTATCTCTCTAAGTGGTCTCAGGGCCACTAGATGGGACCGAACACCACGCCCAAGAGGTGTGTGGGTTACACACACTCTGTCTCAGCACCACTAACAATTGTTTTCAACTAGAAAGAATTGACTGTGCAATTCTAGTTAGTTTCAGATTAGTCACACACACACATACACACACATGCCCCCAAGAACACTCTACCGTGCAGAAGCACAGGCATGATTAAGTCGAGTGAGAAGTCCACAGGAGTCCGCTATTTTGATAAGCAGGCAAAATGTGGGGTTCCTGCCAACCTACAGCCAATTTAACTCCCCCATACACGATTTTATATGGCACTTTGTGGGACGTTTGGACAAAAGTTTTCAAAACGTATTGGTTTATACTCTATGCAAGGAATTCACTTGGCATGCTGTCCGTGGTAGTTGAAAAGGCATATTGCTGTAGGTTTGTGTGTGTGTGTGTATTATTGGAATTTACATAACAGTGCTAACTGTGTACACATGGCATATTGCTAGGTTTGTAGAATAATTTACATGGCACACTATCACAGCTTTATCTCTTTAGGAACAGCATACGGTACAGTCTGCAGAGTATGACATGATACTAGGGTGACCAGATGTTCCGATTTTATGGGGACAGTCCTGATTTTGGGGTCTTTTTCTTATATAGGTGCCTATTCCCACCCCCGTCCTGATTTTTCACACTTGCTGTCTGGTCACCCTAGGTGATACAGGTTAGTTATAATCATAATTGAATAGGAAGGCAAAGTAAATTTGCTTGTAAAACTTATCATTTTCTGAAAATTCTGTCCTCAGACTCCAAGGGCTTTTTTAATAACTAATTTTAAAGGCCTTTCCCCCCCGCCATACAATTTATTGTATCATTAAAATGCAAAAAGCTTCCAATTAAGGCAGCAACTCTGGCAAAGTGTTATCTGAAATACAAAATAGTGGAATAGCAAGAAAATTCAATACTGAAAAGCTCCATTGTTCCACAGGGCAAAACATATGTTTAAAGAAAACTTTTCTCTTCCTCTCCCCTCCAGAATTTCAGGCAGATTCTCTATCAACTCCACATGCTGGTTCTAAATCAAAGGAATCAAAGTAAGGAGAGTATTTGATAACATTTTTCAGTACGATTCAGTCAGGTTACTGTATATTTGTACAATACCTAGGCTAGTACTGTGAACATCTAACAACTGGAGATGTACAGTATGTCTCCAGCATCTACATTCTGGCAGGATCTGCTGTATCTGTGCTATTAATAATCTGGAAGTTACTTCTGTCTGAGTAATTGTCTCATACCCCGCGTCGTTTGCTATATTAAAAAGGACGTTGTCAACCTGTGCAGACATCAATATAATTGTTTCTTAAAGGAAAATGCAGCCCTGGAAGTTGTGCGTGTATTTATATGATTTTATTTGATGAAATGTTTGTATAGCTTGGGTGAAACAGTGAGCTGGATCCTCTCCTGGTGTAAATCAGCACAGTTCCATTGTTCTCTTCATTGACTTCAGTGGAGCTATGCTCATTTACATGATCTGAGGATCTGGCCCAATTTTAGGCCCTCCTCTATAAATGTTAGACCTATTTAGAGAGGGGGGAATAACAGGGCTGTTGCAAAAGAAGGTACAATTTTGGCTCAGAATGAATTGGACCAAATTAATCTCTGGTGTACTTTACTTGTCACTAAGGGTGAATGTGGCCCACTGATGTTATTCCTTTAACTGTTAATATTTGAGCAATGTTTTCCGATAGTAAAAGGATGGGCCTTTACGCCTAAGGGTCTGTATGTAACACTAGCCAAAATAGCTATAATAGTCTGTTTATAGAAAGAACATTATTGTATTGCTACATGTAGACACAGTGAAATGTCTCATTCTGAGGTATCCACTCTGATTGCAAATTACAACCTGGAAGAACTGAGGCATCATTCATTTCAAAATTCTGAAAACTGGGGGAACAGTACACTGTGATGGGTTGCCAGCCCCCCTTCTGGGGAGCCACCTGATGTACTGGGGTACCACTGAGCCTGCCTGTTACACCAGCCTGGGCTCCCTCACCCTCTTCCGCTAAGCCAGAACCTCAAGCCTCCTCTAGCATACACTCACACACAGGTAGGGACACACCCAGCTGAGAAAGACGCAGACACTGAAATCAGTACCACATGGGAAGGCTTTCAGCTAAGGAATTGCCCAGCACTCAAGTGCACTCCCCCTCTGGAGAGTAAACCTAAAATTGTATTGTCTTGCGCTGCACAGAGAACTGTACAGCGTAAGCTAATTGAAATTCGCTCTCTCCCTCGATGTGGAGAGAGAGATGCACAGCTTTTTGCACCCCCCAGTTTTGAATTACACAAACTGGGTTTAAAACAAAAACAAGTTTATTAAGTAGAAGAGGTAGATCTTAAGTGATTATAAGGGAAAGCCAACAGACCAAAGCAGATTACCTTAGTAAATAAACAAAAACCACAAACTGAGCTTAACACACTAGATAGGTAGGATATAAATTAACAGATTCTCAACCTGAGTGATAACACAGGCTGGCAGACTCTTAAGGCACAAGTTGCCTTGGCTTTCCTAGGTTTTCATACACAGGCTAATGGTCCTTCTAGCCTGGGACCATCATTTTCCACAGTTCAATCCTTGCCCCTTAGGTGTTTCCAGGTATGTTGCTGGACGGAGAGCGAGGACCCCCTATGATGTCATTTTCCCTCTTTTATATCTTCTTCCCACTTGCTGGAATGCTCTTTTGCTGTGACCTGGGTCAAACAGTCTCCATTGTGTAGTGCTATCTCTGAGAGGTTTCTGTTGTACACAGTTCCTGGGGTAACCCTTGTGCTTGTGTGCATTTCCTCAATAAGCCATTAACAGTGTTTGGCCTTTTTACAGTTGTACTTGAAAGGCTGTTTGTGGGTGTTTTCAATCTCACAATGTGTTTCAGTGGCACATACATAGCCCAACTTCACATATGACAATAACACATACAATCCAACATGATATTAATGTCTAGCAGATCAAGACTTCAGAATGACACCTCACAAGACATACTTTGTACAAAACATATGCTAATTACATGACAGCGGTGAATAGTGAGGTGTCAGGGTGTCATGTACACATCCTGGGGTAAATGCTTCACTGTGATAGGAGAAGAGATTAGCTCCACAACTCCCAAGAGGACTAATGGGAGATCACAAGCGTAAGCAAATGGTCTGTGCAAAAGCAAGAAAAATCTTATTGGCAACCTAGAAAGTAGAAAAGCTGGGGGGGGGGGCTTTATTCTTTCCCTGGAGGTGGGCAGTTCTGACTCCTAGGTGTGGTAGGATCTGAGCCAGTGATTAGGGCACTAGCCTGGGACTTGGAAGACTTGGGTGCAATTTTCTGCTCTGCAGCAGACTTTCTGTGTGACCGTGGGCACATTATTTCGTTTCTCTGTGCTTCTGTGCCTCCTCTATACGCTGAGATTTCTAGCACTTCCCTACCTCCCCAGGTGTTGGGAGGGTAAAAATGTTAAAAAATTGTGAGGCACTCGGATACTACAGTAATGGGGCCATGTAAGTAACTTAGATTGATCATTCCTGCATTCCCCTGGGGGTTTCATCAGTTAATATGTAAATTTCAGTGTATACAGTGTCCAGAATCTTTTAAAATTCTTAACCATAAGACACATAATACAAAGGCAGTGATGTGTAACGGCCTCGCTGAATCACTAATGCTATGGGGAAAAAAATCCACTGGCTTTCTGGGGTCTCATTCAATCAGCCCCTGGTCGCACTTTGCTCAACCTTGTTCCTCCTATGCAGGAGGATACTCATAAAGACCTTGAACACCTTTAAATTACCATTTAGGAGGCAAACCAAATTAACTATCTATCTCACAGGGATGTCAGGCAGAGATGGCTAGACGGGAACCATGTCAGCTCTTAAACACTAGTTCAAAATGATTTCACCGCTTGCCAGTCAATTTTAGGTGAAAGGAAAGTGCAGAAAATGACAGGCCAATCCCTCAGACCTCATTGGTTGCTAATCATACGGAGGTCCAAGAGACCCATCTCCTTCTCCTCACCAATACATGCAGCCCCTGTGTCGGACTGTGGCGTGCACACAATGCAGAGTGAATGCTACACTAAGAAGTGGAGCTGAGCTGAGCGATCAGCGTGATCAGAAGATGCAGCAGAATCCTCTGAGATGAAATGAGCAGAGCATCAATCACTCCAAATTGAGCTTAGGCTTGATGAGCACATGCCAGTCATGCTTAGGTTAGAAACCCTCAGGATCAGCGGTAATGAAAGTGACAAGGCTGGAGGCTTGCTCTTATACACTGGATCCCCACTAATGCTACTCAGTTGTTCTGGGTGCCTGAGGCTGAGAGTTGCCCCTATGTTTTCATTCAATTTAAAGTGTGACTTTCTTCTGAAAAGTTCTGTGCAAAGACAGCTGCCTCTTATGCAACAGATCTGTTCCCTTTGAGAGTCCAAAGTGACTGGTGATTGTGGGTGCCCACCTTGAGACACCTTAAAGGGGTCTGGCTTTCAGAAAGTGCCCCCCCCACACACACACACACACACTGAAAATCAGGGCCCTTTAAGGTGTCTTAAGTTGGAGGCACCCAAAATCCAGGGGTGGCAAAAGGTGGAGGCTTGCACAGGTAATAGCCACCCGAAACTTTGCCTTGGCCTCCCAGTAGTCACCCCTCCCAGTGCGAAGGCCAAACATTATGCAGAAGTAAGGGTGTCATGGCACGGTATTGCTATCCTCACGTCGCTGCTGCTGGCGGCGGCGCTGCCTTCAGAGCCGGGCAGCTGGAGGGCGGCGGCTGCGGGCCGGCTGTGAAGGCAGCGCCGCCGCCAGCAGCAGCACAGAACTGCAGAAGTCGGGGGGTGGCCACTAGTAGTGATGTAAAAGCCAGTCTGCTGTGGCCTCTCCGCAGAAAGTCTGCTGGTGGCTCTTCCGCCACTCACAGAAGAAGATGTGAGGCTGAGGATCTGGGGACCCAGACGGAATGGAGTTATTCAGACAAATCCCTAGCGTCCGTTGAGAACGGTGAGCTCATCAAACAGCAGCACCGTATTTAACATCCAAAACACTCTGCTTTCCAAAGAGTGCACTTTGGGAAAACGACACAGTCGGTTTGCTCTTAAAAACGGCTTTGTGGTAAAAACAAAAATGCACAATTTTATTCAGCATGAACTTTGATGCATTTGAAGCATTTTGACAGGGAGATAACAGTCTCTCATTCCTGATTTGTGTTGCCCTCCTGTTATTCAGTGCAGCGCATCTACACTTGAACAGCTGGTTTTCTGAGGCCAGGTTTGTTTTGCCTTGTATTTTAGCAGGGTTTTATGCAAAGATTGGCTCAGGTAGCGGTGTTCAGATCCACCTCTAGCATGGAATTAGATATCGGCCAGAGTTCAGGTCTGAGGCTAAATCAGAGCAAGGGTTCCACTTGAGAACTGCCTGTGAGCAGCAGGAGCGCCTTGAGTCATAATGACCCCCTGCATTTAGAGTCCCATCCCCATAGGTTCACAGGGCCTAGTTGCAATGGGCCAAGGCCCCAGCACTGAATAGGGCTCCCTGAGAGACCTCAGAGGAGTCGGCAGGCAGGGTTGCAACAGAAGAAAGGCCTCAGTGGGAGCTGATCCTCGGGCACGTATGTGCTTCACCAAACTGCTGTCAGTTTCACTGCCCCTGTTGGCTGCTGGCTCCCTCCTGTGGCCAGTCTGCAGGGGTGTGTGGAAACCTGGACAAAACCAACAAGGACACTCGGGATATGTGTTAGGGGGCTTATTCCTTCACCCACTTACTTCCCTGGTCCTTCTCGCATGAACAGAGAGCAACAATACCCGAAGTCCAAAGGTGCAAACAATTCGATGTTTATTGGGGTGAACTTCCAGCAAGCATGATTCCAGTTTCCTTCCTTAGTATCCTCCTTCCCAGCTCTGACACCACAGAGCCTTACACCTGTGTCCCTGTTCCCATTCCTACCCTTAGCCAAACATGATTCCAACTTCCTTACTCCCATTTCCTGTTCCCATTTCCCCCTTTAGCAAAACATGATTCCAACTTCCTTACTCCCATTCCCTGTTCCCATTTCCCCCTTTAGCAAAACATGATTCCAATTTTCTTACCCCCATTCCCTGTTCCCATCTCACACACCCACATGCCCACCCCCACCCACACCCCGTCACTTCCTCATTGACTACAGATTATATAGTAAAACTTGAGTTCTGCTTAGCTATACCTTAACCAATCATTTTCCTGAAATTTAACTAACCAATCCTAACATATTGTAACATGATTATGTAACCAATTATATCCCACCACCTCAATTAGTTTACACCCAGCAAAATTAATTATACAGCAGACAGGAACAATCACAGAACCAGACAGAGATTATACAGACAAACAACAGCAAAGTGGGAACTATAATGACAAAACAATACAGAAGTGAGGATTTCACATCCCAGCTATTGATAAGTGAGTTCTTGCCAGACAGGATGCTATCAAACTAAGTTTCCTTTTACATTTTCTAGGCACTTCCCTTCCTCTGGAGGTGATAGGAATACAATCCTGTCCTGATAGTGCCTAACAGCCCAATAGCACCTTATTTCAATGTGACTAGTTTGGAATGTGAGGATGTGACCGTTCGCTTCCCAGCTTATGGCTGCCTCTGCTGCTTAGCCAAAGGCCTGAGCCTAAGCACAGGGCCACAAACTGTCACAGTAAGAGAAGGCCCTTACACTGGCAGACAGTGGTTTTGATTCTTTCTTTCTTTTATACCTCTATCACTAGCCAAGTGATAAGAATACACCTAAATTCTTAGAGTATAGGCCTTTACAGACAGGCCTGAATATCTATATCCTAACAATATGTCTACACTGCGATTAAAAACCTGCGGCTGGCCCAGGCTCACAGGCCTTGGGCGAAGGGGCTGTTTAATGGAGGTGTAGACGTTCTGGCGTGGGCTGGAGCTCAAGCTCTCGGACCCTCCCCCTCACAGGGACCTAGAGTCTGGGCTGCAGCCTGAGCCTGAACATCTACACTGCAATTAAACAGCCTCAGGAACCCGAGTCAGCTGGCATAGGCCAGCCAGGGGTGTCTAATTCCAGTGTAGACATACCTTACAGCAGACCTCACACCTAGAAACATTCTAGTTATGGGGAGCTCCTTTCTGCTCACATTCCCATCCTATCCCCATGACCCTTACAGGTCTCTTCCGGCTGATGGGTCCCTTCTCCCTTACTGATAGCTCCTGGTTCATAATGGAGTTGTTCATTTCATGTATGAGTGCCTTAAAACTTCTACCACAATGGACTCTCAGTCAGCTGGTTCAAAAATGGCCCTACTGTTGTCTTGCAGAAGGAGGTGGTTTCTCCTGGATGCCTAGAAACAGGTTAGGTCTCTGCGATGGTGTGAAATCACCTTTAAGGGCCTGCTTGTCCTCTTACACTAGTGTAACTCCAGTAGTTTCAGTGGAGTTACTCTGGGACACTGGTGAGAGAACAAAATCAGGCCCTATGTATCTGCCTTTGAGAAGAATGGGCCCCCTCAAAGGAGGACATTCCCTCTTCTGTTGCAGAATCTGGGAAAAAATTTAGACTGCACAGGGCCCCAGCTGAGCTAGGTTGTCTGTCATGCCACTGGGAGCAGATGGTGCAGTATTTTCATGGCTATATGACAGAAAATGCATTACCGCCAACCTATCACAGCCCACCTCTGAATCTATTAAATGAGTAGCAAGTAAAACAAAGGACGTTAACTTATTAACGGTAGCTTTTGCCAAAGACGTGCAAGTTGTGCTTTGAAACAGATGTCCTGGGAGAAAACATACAGGACGTCAGAACTGGGATTCATAGAATTATTATGCTCATTTCTCATTGGTTTTAAATTATTAATAAAACTACCTTGGTGATATTGATCTATCATTGAATCTGAGCTTTATTTCATATCTGTAGTCACAGAAGCAGTAAATTTAATTTCCATCCTACTTCCTAAGCTTACTTCATAACTAAAACATGATCTTTAAGCTATATCAGTAATCAGAGAGGAGAAGAGGAGCAGAGAAGATGTGGATGGCAAGGACAGTCCTGAGCCCACACTGAGTCAAGGTGAGGAGCGCTAAGGGTCAGATTCCGATACACTTTCTTATTTTATGTCTTATTCTGCAAATAGCCACAGTAAAGCCATGTGATCACAGATGGAGTAAAATGCTACTGAACAGGAGTAAGTATCAGAATTAGGCTCTATGGACCAGACCCTCAAAGGCATTTTGGCACCTAACTCCCGTTGATTTTACTGGGATTTAGGTGCCTAAATTACTGCTGGGAGCATTCTGTTCCAAAAAATGAAAAATTCTGCACACAGTATTTCAAAATTTTATTTGTCAAAATAACACTACATAAGCATGCCTGTTTCAAGTATTTTGGTAATTTATTTCAAAATACCTGTCAGCAAGTATGTCTATAACAATACAGACACATACACAAAATTCCACAAGGAGTAGAGAATTAAAGAAACCCGTATGACAATGCAGTTCCTGTTTCTCTGCACCCTTCCCTCCTCCCCAGAGCCCAGATGCGGGGGGGAGGGGAGAGGGTCAGACATGCAAAACCCCTCCCCATATAGCCCGGTAACGTTCCCCCAGCTAATACACCCAAACCCCCATTCTCCCCCAGAGCCCAGCCCAGTGATTAAAGTGAGGCCCTGGAAATCCAAAAGGACAGGTTCCTACAGCAATACTAACATGGCCATATTGCATATCCAGTGTATTTACTGTATACATTTAACAATATAAGCAGCAATGTAGTAAGGCCTACCTTCAATAATAAACCAGGGATAGACACTACCACCTAAGAACAGCCATACTGGGTCAGACCAATGGTCCATCTAGCCCAGTGTCCTATCTTCTGACAGTGGCCAATGCCAGGTGCCCCAGAGGGAATGAACAGAACAGGTAATCGTCAAGTGATCCATCTCCTGTCGCCCATTCCCAGCTTCTGGCAAACAGAGACTAGTGACACTTCAGAGAATGGTTTTGCATCCCTGCCCATCATGGCTAATAGCCATTGATCAACCTATCCTCCATTAACTTATCTAGTTCTTTTTTTAGCGCTATTATAGTCTTGGCCTTCATAACATCATCTGGCAAGGAGTTCCACAGATTGACTGTGTGTTGTGTGAAGATACTTCCTTTTGTTTGTTATAAACATGCTGCCTATTAATTTCATTTGGTGACCCCTATTTCTCGTGTTATGAGAAGGATTAAATAACATTTCCTTATTTACTTTCTCCACACCAGTCATGATTTTATAGACCTCTATCATATCCCCCCTTAGTAGTCTCTTTTCCAAGCTGAAAAGTCCCAGTCTTATTCATCTCTCCTCATATGGAGGCTGTTCCATACCCCTAATAATTTTTGTTGCCCTTTTCTGTACCTTTTCCAGTTCCAATATATCTTTTTTGAGATGGGGCATTACACGAGTATTCAAGATGTGGGCATACCGTGGATTTATATAGAGGCAATATGATATTTCCTGTCTCATTATCTATCCCTTTCCTAATGATTCCCAATATTCTGTTAGCTTTTTTGACTGCCCCTGCACGTTGAGTGGATGTTTTCAGATAATTCTCCACAATGACTCCAAGATCTCTTTCTTGAGTGGTAGCAGCTAATTTAGACCCCATCATTTAATATGTATATTGTAGTTGAGATTATGTTTTCCAATGTGCATTACTTTGCATTTAGCAGCATTGAATTTCATCTGCCATTTCATTGCCCACACACCCAGTTTTGGGACGGTTCCTCACATTTGTCACCTAAAAAGAATGGCTCAGGTTTGGGAATCTCCCTCACATCCTCAGCCATGAAGACCAATGCAGAGAATTCATTTAGTTTCTCCACAATGGCCTTATCTTACTTGAGTGCTCCTTTAGCATCTCGATTGTCCAGTGGCCCCACTGGTTATTTAGCAGGCTTCCTACTTCTGACGTATTTAAAAAAAAAATTCTGTTACTTTCTGAGTCTTTGGCTAGCTGTTCTTCAAATTCTTTTTTGGCCTTCCAAAGTATATTTTATACATAACTTGCCAGAGTTTATGCTCCTGTCTCTTTTCTCACTAGGATTTAACTTCCACTTTTTAAAGGATGCTTTTTTGCCTCTCACTGATTCTTTTACTTTGTTGTTTAGCCACGGTGGCTCTTTTTTGGTCCTCCAATTTTTTTTTTTTATTTGGGTGTTTATTTAAATTGAGCCTCTATTATGGTGTCTTTAAAAAGTTTCCATGCAGCTTGCAGGGATGTCACTTCTGGCACCGTACCTTTTAATTTCTGTTTATCTAACTTCCTAATTTTTGTGTAGTTCCCCTTTCTGAAATTAAATACCACCATGGTGAGCTGCTTTGGTGCTTTCCCATGCACAGGGTTGTTATGTTATGGTCACTATTACCAAGCAGTTCAGCTACCACTAAATTCTTTGCACAGTGCCTAGCACAATGGGGTCCTCGTCCAGGAGTGAGGCCCTACTTGCTATGGCAACGCACATACTATGTGTGATGAGGCCAAGTTAAGACAGAAATGTCAGCATTTGGGGCTGGATTTACCAGCAGGATCCAGCTGCTTTGCACCACTGTAACGCTACAAACTCGGTGTAACCAGACGGTGAAGCTGGGTTTATTACTGCTTTGCCTTTCCAGCATGGTGTAAAGCACTGGAGCATACCAGTGAATTTGGACAGCATGGAAAACATTCTATGAGATGAGTATAAAAAAAACCTTATGTGCTTAGAACTAAAATGTCTGGAAATATACACTGGTGATTCTTAATAAAATGAACTCTTTAAAAAATTGAATCTGGAACAAACAATGTTTAAACACTGATATTTGTTAATCTCTTAGGGCATCAGTAATTTTAATCAATAACACATCAGCAGATAAAGCATGTGAGAGGGTGTTGGATGGGCTAGTAGTTAGGGAGGTCCGGGACTAAAAGCCAGGGGAATCCTAAATTGTAAATCCAGCTCAACAGCTCTCTCGCTGTGGGACACTGATTCATAGATTTTTTTTTTTAAGGCCTGAAGGGACCATTGTGATCATGTAGTGTGACCTCCTGTGAAACACAGGCCACTAAGTGGTTCCTGCATCAAGTCCATAATGTCTGGCTGAGCTGAGACCTGAGAAGGTCAGGTAACGATCAAATTTACCTGAGAGGGGAAACAACAGTAAATTCCCAGACACTGCAGCTTTCCTGGGTAAATAAATTATAAAATAGTGCGTCCCGGCTTCGTAGATCATAGGCAGATGTTCAAAAATAGGTGCCCATGAAACAGGTGTGCCTGCAAAATGGGTGACCACATGCACAAGAACCAGATGTTGTATACAAATGTATATCTGTACAGAATGGACTCAACTTAGGTACCTATCTTTGAATATTTGGCCCATAATATTGTGTGTTCCAGAGCCCCCCAGAGATAAGTGCCAGCTTGAAAAAAGAAACCTGTGTAGAGGGAGGGAAGGTTCTTATTAGCTGATCGACAGGCCATAACAAATTCCTGTAACTCTTCATAGAGGGCAGTTCAATCTTATTCCTATGGAAGGTGCTTGCATGGCCCCCATGACCACCGTATCTGAGCACCTCTCACTCTTTAATGTATTTGTCCTTGCAGTACCCTTGGGAGGTAGGGAAGGACTTTTATCCCCGTTTTGCAGATGGGGAAGTGAGGCATACAGAGACTAAGTGACTTGCCCAGGTTACACAGGAAGTCTGTGGCAGAGGAGGGAGTTGACCCTAGGTGTCCTGAATCACCCTAACCCCTGGACCATCCTTTCTCTGTAAGTTATGGACAACTGTGACTACGAAGGAATTAGAACAAACCATTTTATGATTTCTGTCCTTTCATTCTTATCAACCTCTTGCTTTCACAAGTTCCTAGGACCCAAACCGCTCTGCCTGCTGATTCTTCCACCTCCAAGGCATGACTCCAGTTTTGATAAGTAATAAAGCAGAGGGACAGGTGTTTGGTTTTTTTAATACTTTTGTAACATCTCTGTTTGGAATCGTGTCTTTCCAGCTCTGTGGAATGCTGGACAAAAAGAGAGCGGTCAGGCTGACAGCCAAACTCACTGCCACAGAGCATTCCCGGGCATATCGTCTAGCAAAAGAGCATCAGTGTGACACTTCCTGGGTGTCCCAAGGTTGTGAGGGGGCCTTGTCTGTCCCTGCCATGGCTCAGCTCGCCAACCCCACCAGCCACAGGCAACGCAAGCACACCCTTCTAGGCCTATGCACGCCCTGCTTTCACTCTGCAGGTTAGCGATAGGCACACCCCAACTCCTGAGCCCTCTGAGTGTCTCCCTGGAGTGTCCAGCCCCTGGTCCACTGGACGGACATTTACAGTAGTCACAGATTTAACTGGGAATTGGTCCTGCTTCGAGCAGGGGGTTGGACTAGATGACCTTCAGGGGTCCCTTCCAACCCTGATATTCTATGATTCTATGATTTACTGCTTCCAAAGAAGCAGTACACCCCAGCTTATCTGCTTCACCTCAGATCACCACTCTGCTTAACCCACATCCCATAGGCACGTGTATGGTAAAAACCAGTGTGATCTTATTTAACAAAGCATAGCAATTCAAGGGCAGCAAGGAGAAGTATTGGAAACAAAGGGTCATGTATCAAATAAAGTCATAACACACATTCTAAAACCTAGACTTAATTAACTAGATACTCTCATGTCTTATAGAGCAAGGCTCACCCAAAGTTCTTCTAGCATTTTACAGCCAGGCTTGGCTGTGATTGTCTATTCGTGAGCCAAAATCCAGGGTGTCTGTTAGCAGCCCCAGATATATCAGAACAATCCATTGTCCTTTTTCATAAGCAGGACGCCCCCCTGCTGGGTTTTTTTTTCCTGTATACTCCTTACTTGTCGATTTCCCAATCTGTTAATCAGCATCTGGCTCAATATGCAAATAGGCCTATATTGTTATGAGCACAATACACAATGACCAGACAGGGCGATAAGCGTCTGTTACCCACTGCCTCAAAAGGGATTGTCTGAGACAGGTCACTGCCTGGTTACCTGCCTTAAGAACATAACTTTTAGTATAGAAATATAACTCCTTAAATATTATCTGTACATACATTTTGCAATGATTATGGCAACCAGTGGGCAACTGGCTCTCAGTAGAGACCTTACATGCCAACCTTTGGTGAATTAATATGCATCTATCCAACCCAGGGGTTCCCTGTAAAACTCTATGCACTGTCTCTGTCCTCTAACCGTTGGCACCAACAGTTGCCTGTGTCACAATCTGATTTTATACTGACAAAGCTACGTTATCCGTTTTTATGGTTAGGGACATAAATGATCCCCAGCTGGGAATGGGAGGTAACTTCCACCCCATGATTCATGGTTACCCAGGCAGTGGTGCTGAAGACAGCTCACAAAACTCTAAACCACGTGTGTTCAAAAGCAATGTGGGAAAGGGTGATTCCCGTTCACACCACCCGGGTGCTGCACAGCTCCGGGAGTCTCAAGAATCGCAAACTAGTGCCAGCTCCATTCTGATAGCACCAGCAAACTTTTCACAGTGAAACCTGGGGATGCTGCCTGCAGCATCTGCCATGCCCTAGTTCCCGAGCCTATGTTACCCAGGTACAAAAGTGGGGGACGTTGCTTTGTGGGACAAGAGTTATGGCCACACACCACAGGTCTCTGGTTAAGGATTAGCCTCGTTTAGTTCAGCACAGCCGGTGCTCTATCAGACCAACTTGTAACATGAACTCTGCTGTCATCTTTCAGGCACTGTGGTACTCTTTCCTGACACAGATGAAGAAATTAAGACACAAGAGTCTGAAGAAGGAAGCGAAGAAAGTAACCAAACTAAATCCAAAGATGAAGGTAGGGTGCGCTTGTGGAGACTCCGTCATTGGCAATTTTTAAATCAAGATTGGAGCTTTTTCTAAAAAAGAGGCTCTAGTTGAAAAGAAATTATGTTGGGGAAGTTCTATGGGCTGTGGTATACAGGAGGTCAGACTGGCCTGGGAATCTGTGAATAATCCTGATCACTGTAAATTAAAGTAGGGTTTTGAACTAGACTCCTTTGAAAATCCCAGCCTTGTTGCTGTAGATGAGAGATGGCTAACACTCCGTAGTAATGGGGGATAAATCACCCTGTCCAGGAATAGTGTCCAGGGCAGCAACCAAAGCGAGAGGGGGTTTGGCACCTTGGCAGGACAGTTCTGGCTCATGAGTGGGGATTTGAATGAGGTAGGTGTTACTTTGGGCTTGCCCATCTGATGATGTAACATTTTGCCCTTTACCTTCTGACCAAGCAGTCATCTTCCAGCTTCCCTCATCTCCTATCAGTACCTGTCCCACCAGCCTCCAGACTCCCAGGCCTCTCCCACAGTACAAGCACACGGGATGCTCGATGAAATTAAAAGGATAACAATGAAATACTTTTAACTAGAAAGTATAAGTAACCTACGGAACTCACTGCTGCAGAAGGCTATTGTGGCAACTAAAGTAGCAAGAGTCAGAATGTATTAGACCGTCCAGGCAGACATGTCTCTGTGAGAAGCATCAAGAGGCATTGTATCCCTGCGCAGCATGGACCACCTCTCCAGTCTGCTTGAGGGGGTCAGCCCATGGATAGCTGCTGTCCATTCACAGTCTCAGACTGTGGCTTCCATCTGGGCACTGGATCATGCCACCTCCCCGATCCTGTTTGAATGTTTGAAGGAGGCAGCCTACCATGCCCTGCCCCACTCTCACCATGAAACACTTAGCAACATGTGGCCTCCCTCCCCAACTTTGCCAGTGGTTCCCATATTTCCATCCCATGGGAGAGTGCAGGGGCCCTACTGGAGGGGTAGGAATCTGTAGACGCCATGAAAGGTGAGAAAAAGCTCGGGCTAGGGGAAAAAGAAAACTGAAAAGGAGAATGTGGGGGAGTCAGAGAGTGGACAATAAATCTGAGAGAAGGGGGGATGAAAGAAAAACGTTGGGAAGGACTATGTGGGGAGGGAGGAGGAGGCATAGAGCATGAGAGGAAGAGGGAAAGGAGAATGAAAAAAGAGTAAAAGAAAGTGGGAAAAGGTCAGATGATGGGAAAGGCTTGAAAGGGGGGAAATTTAATTAGAAGTAAAGTTGAGGAGAAAAGAAACAGGCAGCTAACAAAGCAAACATAGGAAAGCAAAGAATGAGGCAGACGGGCCGAGCAAGTTAATTTTTCTCATTGCTTCATAGAAAGTTTGGCACCAAAATATTACATAAAGCCAAATAGGAGTATATTTTGATATCTGTAGATCAGGATGACATCTGTCCATAGCACAGCAAGACAGGAGGAAGGCATGGGGTAGCAGCCTGCTTCCGTGTGTGTGGGTTTTCTTGCTTTTGTTCTGTATTGTGCTGATGCTGGTTTCTATACGTAGCTCTGTGGTTGTCAGGTAGGAAACACCTGCATGAATGTGGGCCCTGCGGTCTTGATGTGCAGCCTTTCTTGGTACTTTAACAGAATGTAATTTGACAGAGGCAACCTATTACAGGACAGAATTCCAGACAAACCCATCCCAGCATAGCCTCTCTTCCACCACCACCCTCCCCCAGACCCCATACACTTTAATAACTGAAACATGCTAGTCTTCAAAAATAGAGGGCATTGGACTTGAGATTCCAAAATTTTATGGAGGAAGCTCCATAGAAAGCTTGCTTAATTCTTTCCTCTCGCTCACCACAGCGTCCCCACTTTTGCTTGGTTGGAATATAGGATTAACATCTGCAATTGCACTAGCTAAACTGCAAATTACACAGGCTATCAATCTTTATGCTTCAGGGCATACAATGATTACCATCTTGGGGGGGTGTCAAAATTAGTTTCTCCCATGCTATCATATGGTACTGTATGATTGACCAGGTGCATAAAGGAGGAGGAATGGGTTTGCCTTCACCAGGAGTATCAGTTATATGTCACTATCAGAGGCAAAGTACCTGACTGACTGAACCAACAGCCAGTTTCACTGTGACATTTCCTATGTTTCAGTTCAGTCCCCACAAGTCTAACACTTAAACCACTCCTGAATCTGGCCATATGACATGTAGGTCAGGCAACTACCATTGCCCAAGCAGATTAGCCACTAAAACACGCCATGCTTGTTCTGTATCTGTAGTTGTGAGAGCTGAAAGTGATGCAGCAGGAGGAGAAGACAAGAAGTCAGATGATGAAGGTATGCCAGGATATGTGGCCATTTGGGTAATCTGATGGCTAAGGATGCTTTCCGTTGTGAGGGAGACAGAAAGGGTTGACAGCTGGGAAGGGGGTGGTTTGAGGGCAGGTCAGTGGGGGGCAGTGCAATATATTCCAGGGGTACCTCTGATTAAGGAAGGCCCTTGATCCCGCAAGAGTTGAAAACAACAGCCAGGCTGGGCCCGGCAGAGATTTTGAGATCTGCTGAGACCTCTGATAGATCTAGAATCTACATCCACAAAGGCCCAGGTGCGGACCAAAAGTCAGGGTGGAAAAGAGGGGCTTTGATGGGCAGGAAGTGGAATGAGTCACTGGGTCCAGACAAGAGATCTCAGGCTGATGTCCGCATGGGAGGTGGGGGTGGGGGTGATACTAAAGGACACCTGGCTAGTGGGTACTCGCCCACAGTTTTGACCCTTCCAAATGCTTGTGAATGAGGTCTGAGGTTCAGACAAGTTCTTATTTTCCATGGCCAAGTTTGCCTTGCCTCAGGTTTCAGAACATCTTGGCAGCAGATGATTATCTCATTGGAATGGAAGCAAAAAGCAAGAAGTGACAGAACTCCAAAATAAGAGACATAATTAGCAGCAAAACTTTTAATTTGCCATTCTGAACCATTTCTAAATGAGTTAGTGGCTTATTTATCGGACCTGGCTTGACATTTAGACAGTTCCTTTTAATGCTAATGGGCTTGATTACCGGGTTGAATCCTACTGCTCTGCAGAAACTGCTGTTCAGTATTCAGAGCTGCCAAATTCTTCCCACACAATAACACCTTCCTTTCTTCACAGTAAATATGTATTATTCAGTGCACCCATATTACAATAAGCCGCTCACTGGTGTGAGGTGTCTGCTGAGATAATTAAAGCAGCAGCTACCAGTTTGCTAGATACCAATTGCACTGGCTCGTGTCTTAGAGTTTTCTGGACTGGGACTTCCCCAGTTTCTTTAAATGGCACCACACACTTCTCCTGGCCCTTCCCCACTCCAGCTCACGCCTCTGCAACCTTAAGTTCAGCTGGGAGACTGAACCAAAGCCCATTAAAATCAGTGGGAAAAACCTCCCATTGAGTTCAGTGGGCTTTGGATCAGATCTTTGCAGGGTTTCACTGCACTTTTGTTCCTTACGCCTATTGCTATCTTTTATACCATTAGCTCCCCGGGCAAGGATTATCATTATCATGAGTTTATACAACCCCTGCTGCAAAGGGGCCTGACCTTGTTGTGACCCTAAGGTGCTTTCAGAATGAAAGTGTTGAATAATTAATAATTAAATCCCCCCAGATGGTTAACACTGCCAGGGCTGGTTCAACAAAGGCAATGATGGTGCATTGGTGACAGCCCATAGGCAGCTAACTGGGCCCTTGCATTTTAAGGTAAACATTTAGTGTGTGACTTTTCCCTCCCTCACTTGCCCCAAACTGCTTTGCTTACCGGCTGGGTGAGGAAGGGTGGGGAGACAACAGGGCTCGTGTCCAGTACTGGTGTTGAGAGGTTAGGGGACTTGTGGGTGGAAGCTTCCTTCTAGTTCGAAGGAGGTAGAAACCCTGTGCTGGGTCTCAGATAAAGCCAAGGAACCAGGGCAGGCAGCCTGATTTCCCCATGGGACATCCCAGCACTCCCAGTCAGCAGGGAGAAGCTGTTACTCCATACCTAGAGCCCTACCAAATTCACAGCCTGAAAAACACATCACAGGCAGTAAAATCTGGTTTCCCCCATGAAATCTGGTCTTTTGTGCGCTTTTACCCTATACTACACCCGATTGCCTTCTATGGTGAGATAACTGGCTCTGTGGATAGGGGGAAAGTGGTGGATGTGATATATCTTGACTTTAGCAAAGCTTTTGATACGGTCTCCCACAGTATTCTTGGCAGCAAGTTAAAAAAGTATGGATTGGATGAATGGACTATAAGGTGGATAGAAAGCTGGCTACATCGTCGGGCTCAACGGGTAGTGATCAACAGCTCGATGTCTAGTTGGCAGCCAGTATCAAGCAGAGTGCCCCTGGGGCTGGTTTTGTTCAACATCTTCATTAATGATCTGGATGATGGGATGAATTGCATCCTCAGCAAGTTCACAGATTACACTAAATTGGGGGGGGAGAGATAGATACACTGGAGGGTAGGGATAGGGTCCAGAGTGACCTAGACAAATTGGAGGATTGGGCTAAAAGAAATCTGATGAGGTTCAACAAGGACAAGTGCAGAATCCATCTTGGGCTGCATTAGGAGCATTGTCAGCAGATCGAGGAAAGTGATTATTCCCCTCTATTCGACACTGGTGAGGCCACATCTGGAGTATTGTGCCGAGTTTTGGGCCCCCCACTACAGAAAGGATGTGGACAAATTGGAGAGAGTCCAGTGGAGGGCAACGAAAATGATTAGGGGGCTGAGGCACATGACTTATGACAAGAGGTTGAGGGAACTGGACTTATTTTGTCTGCAGAAGAGAAGAGTGAGAGAGGATTTGATAGCAGTCTTCAACTACCTGAAGAGGGTTTCCAAAGAGGATGGAGCTCGGCTGTTGTCAGTGGTGGCAGATGACAGAACAAGGAGCAATGGTCTCAAGTTGCAGTGGGGGAGGTCTAGGTTGGATATTAGGAAAAACTATTTCACTTGGAGGGTGGTGACACATTGGAATGGGTTACCAAGCGAGGTGGTGGAATCTCCATCCTTAGAGGTTTTTAAGGCCCGGCTTGACAAAGCCCTGGCTGGGATGATTTAGTTGGGGTTGGTCCTGCTTTAAGCAGGGAGTTTGACTATGACCTCCTGAGGTCTCTTCCAACCCTAATCTTCTATGAGTCTATATAGATTTCAGGGAGGAGACCAGCGTTTCTCAAATTGGGGGTCCTGACCCAAAAGGGAGTTGCAGAGGGGCAACAAGGTTATTTTAGGAGGGTTGGAGTATTGCCACCCTTACTTCTGCGCTGCCTTCAGAGCTGGGCAACGGGACAATGGCAATTGTTGGCCAAGCATCCAGCTCTGAAGGTAGTGCCCTGCCATCACCAACCCAGAAGTAAGGGTAGCAGTACCGCAACCCCCCCTACAATAACTTTGCAACCACCCCGGGGGTTGGGGTTGGCCACTATTGGTAGACAGGATACTGGGCTGGATGGTCCTTTGGTCTGACCCAGTATGGCCATTCTTATGTTCTTATGTTCACCCCACAACTCCTTTTTAGGTCAGGACCCCTACAATTACAACACCGTGAAATTTCAGATTTAAATAGCTGAAATCATGAAATTTACAACTTTTACAATCCTATGACAGTGAAATTGACCAAAATGGACCATGAATTTGGTAGAGCCCTATCCATACCACATGGTGCTAGAGCATGAGGAGTAACCAGACCACTGGTATGTCAATTTGGCCCTGGTGGGCTGGGAAGGAACCCCCCCAAAATTCATCATTATTATGGATTATTAGTTTGACAGTGATGCTTAGGAGCCTTTGACATGGACCAGGACCCCATTGTGCTAGGCTCTGTACAAACACAGAACAAAAAAACTGGTCCCTGCCCTGAAGAGCTAAGGTTTGTAGGGGGGCTTTTGACTTTTGTGTGGGGGCTTATATTGCTTAAATCTTTGTCATCCCTTTCCTTCTTCTCTTTCACACCATATCTGAGTTGTATAGAAAGACAACACGCTGGGACAGCAGACTGGCTGTAGCACCTGGAAAGAGGGAGGGGGAAGGTTTGTAACTAACACGGCATGTACCCAGCATCACAGGACATCATCCCAGACATGTTGTTTGAACTTTGTATATTGGTTTTCTCTGTCTTGTCTATTTGCACTGTAAGGTCTTCAGGAGAGACCCCTGTCTGCGACTATATTGTGCCTAGCACAAGGGAGACCGGATCTTGATTGGAGCCTTTGAGCTCTTCCATAATAGAAATAATTACTACTAATAATAATAATAGGTGCAGGGAGGGAAGTTCCATTCTGTTTTTCACAGGTCACCACCCGTTTTTTCTCTGTATATGTATTATGCCCTGCAGAGATCCCTTCTTTTTGGGATCAATCAGTCTTAAAGAGGGCCTGATTCTCCTCCTGCATCCGTGTAAATCAGCAGTAACTCCAGTGAAGTCAGTTTAGAGTCGCACGGGTGCAAATAAGAACAGAATTGGGTCCTGTATTTGTTAAATTATAAAAAAAAATTTAAATTAAAAATGATAGATTTTAGGAGATAAATATTGTGTTTGTGTTGTAAACACTGGTGCAAAATGCCAACTGAGGAAGCTCATGGGATCCAGAGATCCTTATAAACTAGGACAGCCTGGTAAGCATTCTGAATGACAAGGGCTTGACAAGCCACGCTGGTTTAACAAGCTTTCCTGATGGCTAACCGACCCCAATGAGATTATCATGATCTGTGGAACATAGATACGTGAGCCCAGTAATTTCCCCAGAGGTGTGATTATCTTGTAATAGCCGGATCCCTTGTGCTCATTTCTTATACCTTGAAGAAATTGAGGTCTGAAGTTGGAATGCTCATTTGTAAGACATATGGTTTTAAAACAGTTCTACAAAAGCACACAGGTAAATAAGTACAGGTTCCTGCAGCGAAGAAGTTGAGGCTTTGTCCCAAAAGAGGCCCTCGCATGTTGTATGGTTAGAGCCTCTGCGTGCATGTTTGTTTTAATTTACTAGGGGAAAAGCTGCTATGAGTAATACAGGTTGAGATAACCTAGTGAAGCCAATTTTATTTATGTTCTTTCCACCTCCTACGCCGTCATTCATGTAACCATGAATAATAAGCTGATCAGGAGCCAGTTCTGTCTGAGTGCTACTTTGCAATGATGGTAAACAGGATGATATAAGCAAGGTTGAGGGAATACAACCTGATTTCCATAAAATGTGCTCATTCAGAAATACGCGCACTGCCAGGGCATGCATCCACTCACAAAGGATGTACATATTAAATGTCTGCATGTAGTGTAATGTGTATGCTCCTGGATTATGAGTAGGTGTGTTTCGGAGTTCTTTTTTCTCTAATATAGGTATTTAGGGAGGCCACTGTCTCTGAGAGGGGGATTTGGATTTTATGGATTTCCTCTGATCCCCTAGGTTTGTTTGGATACTGTCAGGGGTGAAAGTAAGTTAGAGGATTTACCAGTACATCTCCGCCGGAGCCCAGTTGCTGAAGCCCTGGGGTAGCAGCGGCGGGGCTCCAGAATGGATTTAAAGGGCTGGGGCGGTAGCGGCGGCTGGAACCCCGGGCCCTTTAAATCCCTGCCTGAGCCCTGCTGCCTGAGCCCTGGAGTAGCAGCAGCCAGGCTCCATCAGGGATTTAAAGGGCTCTGGGGCTCCAGCCGCCGCTACCGCCCCAGCCCTTTAAATCCATTCTGGAGCCCCGCCGCTGCTACCCCAGGGCTTCAGCAACTGGGCTCCGGCGGAGATTTAAAGGACCCAGGGCGGGTAGTGGGGTCTGGAGCTCCGGGGCCCTTTAAATCTCCGCCGGAGCCCGGTTGCTGAAGCCCTGGGGTAGCAGCAGCGGGGCTCCAGAAGCCCCACCACCGCTACCCCAGGGCTTTAAATTGCCCTCTGGGAAAGCCGGTCCCAGTACGGCGCTGTACCGGCTTACTTTCACCTCTGGATACTGTCTTTTTAATGCATCACTTGCTGAAGCTACAGGAAGCATACAGAACATACAAGAGTTTGACACTTTATTCAGAGGAACCAAAGTCTGCTCAGGGACTCCCATTAATCACCATAGTATAAAAACACCACACTGCTGCCCTCCTCATCTTCCATACAAAGATGTGGCCCCAACAGATTGCAGGGCCCAGTATAAAGTAGTGTATTGTGAGTAAGTGATGCTGTTCTTTAGTGGCTGGCCTAGAGTGAGGCTAGGTGACATGCTGCCCATAGAAGTTCCCAGAGTTTTCCTTTGGAAAAGGCCTTTTGGGAGGAGTTAAAGGAAAACAAGAGTTCTAGTCCCAGCTTCCTCTGTGTCTGTGGGTGGGATGTGTCCATATCATCATTGTGTCCGCTGTCTCTACCTATGGATTCACTGCAATGGAACACTCCATCTGGATCTGAGAAGCCATATTTCCTTGATCCAGGCTGTTGTATTAAAGATAAAGATAGGCAGTAGTGTAGGGTTTCATGGGCCACACTTGAACTACTCTGCCTTAATGTGGGAAATTACTTGTCTTAAAATTACCTGAGAATGCATATAAAGTATCCACCCTCTCTCCAGTTCATAAAACCCTAGCAGAGGGGCACTAGTGAGTGACAATTTGGATGATAAATTAGCTATTTAATAATCTGGGTAAAGTTGGTTTTAACTTATTTTTGTTCTTGACACAGATTTTATAGTTCTTATTTTTCTCTGCATCATCCTGCTCTTAAAAACTATTATATAGAAGTTTATGGCCTGCCATAATAAGACATTTGTATTATACTGTAATATCTCGTTTTCATCAATTCTTGCAGTCTAGTATACAGTTTATTACTATGAAACACTTTTATAATCCCTCTTCTATACTATACACCGAAATTCAGAAGTGCATATAAATTATTACACCCTCTTTGCAAAGTTTCCCTTATATTTTACTCACCAAGGCCAAAATGTCCACACCTGGGTTCCTAAAATTAGGCTTCTAAATCCATGTGACAAGTGACTTTTTGTTAAGATTGGTGGGGGGAGATGATTTTTCAGAGCGAGGGTATTCTTCACTTTTTGAAAATCAGGCCCTGTTAATATGCCTGGAGTTGGACACCACATCTGAAAACCTAAGCACTTACATTTAGGTGGCTACATATGGATTTAAATAGGCCGAAGCGCCGAGCACCCACAGACCCTATAGAAATCAATAGACGCTCCTCAGCACCATTGAAATTTAGGCCGCTTATATTGAGCTGCCTAAGAATAGATGTGGGAGCCTAACCGTAGGCAGTCAGGTTTGAAATTTTTGATTCCAGTGCCTCTGTGGGTGAATTGACAATTGATGCAACTGTCACAACATTTCTACACAGTGAGTGAAGGCTAATTCATGTCTTTGTCTTGTTCGTACAAAAAGCCCCGGAGCCCGATTCAGAAGAGGCGACTTGTGATGACCTGAAAATAACTACCCTATTCCTAGATGAGGTGAGGCCCATGGAGAAATTAAAATGAATACACCAGTCATTTATAAAGAGGAAGCTGCATGACTCAAGGGAGTGGTAACTGGACAATGGAGCCTTTCGCCTGTCTGTCACCATTCCACACCCAACCTGTACTGGTAGAGACTCACAGCCATCTGGTGTAAATTGGTGAGTTTTTTTCACTTGGTGGAGCTCTGCCAATTTACCTCAGCTGAGGATGGGGCTGTGACATTTTCCCTGATGCTGTTTGGTGGCCTGTGTGAAGTGGGTGTGTGGATCTCAGTCCAGTCTGTGCTGGATAAATGTTCACGTCAAAAAATCCTCTCTCAGTCGGGCAGCTTTTTCATCAGTCTCAGCACAGAGGGGGGCCGACCACTGAATGAGCATTAAAACTGAACGATCCTCTCCCACACAGAGGTTCTGTACCGTCTGGTTAAGGTTGAGGCATGTTTATTTTTGCATTCTTTTGTGGGTCGGCTTTGCGGGGAAGGTTGCAGTGTTGTTTGTGGATAAATGGTGTCCTGTGGGGCATCACTTTCACCACCTCTGACAAGTACTAAATTCTCGCAGAACAAAGAGGGACAAAGGAAGGCAGCTCCTCGATGAAAATCGGAAAGGAGCTCATGGAAAGTTCCATGCACCTGACACATAGAAACAGAGGGCCAAATTCATCACTGGTATAACTCCGTTGATCTCCACAGAGTTACACCAAAAGTGTGTCTAATCTAAAGGCTCTTCAGTAACAGAGAGGATTTTAGGCAGGGCTTGTTTTCCCTGACCCCACTAATACCATGTGGTTATATTTCCAGTCAGGTAGTATAAGATTTGTCAGGTCTGTGGTGAGATGCCTTTCAGAAAAGATATGTAGCTTCCAGAAAAATGCTCTCTTGGGATATTTGACACTCCTGAAACTGTGAGTAGTGTCCAGGGGAAAGGAAGTTAGCTTTGCTTTCCTGACAATAGACCAAAAATTGCTGAAGAGGCAAATGCTATTCCCTTTAAGAGAGATTTACATTTGACCATCAAAACAACGGGAGCAGTTTGACAAGAAAAGGAAAGAGTAGGTGTTACTGACTCAGACAGCAGATGGCTCTCGGGCCATGGGACCTGATGAAAAATATGTGGGGTGTGATGTGTCGAAATGTCTTCCTTATTCCCCCTCTGGTTTTGCAGCTTCTCAAAGTGAAGCCAAGTTTAAAAGGAGACCGATGTCAGACCCTCTGGTATTTCAGCTTGTCAAACTCAATCTTATTTGCCTCCTTTGCAGTGTCATTTGCTTAGCCATCGCCCAGTTAAAAATAAAGACAAGAAAGAGGGCGAGTTGGTTATCTCTCTGTTTCTACTTCCACCAGCATTTCAACTGGGGCTTGGAGTTTTTTTTTTTTGTGTGTCTGGATGTTTACATTGCTCTAGTTCAGAGGAGGCCGAGGAGAAAACCCAATCAGGCCCACACAGTGCAAGGAAGCCTCATCATTAATATGGAGGTTCTGGTCTCAGCATGCAATGCTCCATCTTAAACAGTAGCCTCTGTGCTATGTAATTTACTGTAGCTGTGGCCTTCACTCTTCTGTCAGCTTCCCATTACAGCCCTCTGTTGGGCAAAGTTGGGCTCCCCTGCTGTAATGATTGTGATTCCTTCCAATGTGTTATATATCAATTCTCTCTTCACCCCTTACTTTCAGGATCTTGTAGTTCTGACTTGGCTGTTAAAAAGAGCTGTTAGCTTAAAGCTAAACAAAGAAATATGCAGACCAAAAGGGAATGTCCATCCATGATGTGTATATATGAAAATCATTTTTGAAAGCTGTCTCCTGTTTATGGCGGTAACTTATTTCAACAAATATTTTGAAAGGATTTTATTACATGGATTTTGTTTGCCTGTTAGCATTATAGACCATAATGGCAATAGACTAGTAACAATAATACTTCATTAACAAATTCATCTAAATGTCAAGACTTGTGTGATAGATGATAACAGCTCTTCCAGAGCCATGTACAGACTGTCTTGTCAGTTCTAATTTCTTGAAAGACTATTCTTTCTAGAAAAACAACAAGGAGTCCGGTGGCACCTTAAAGACTAACAGATTTATTTGAGCATAAGCTTTTTAGGAACAAAGAATGTAGATCATAATTAAAGGACGGGGGACATGTTCTTGGGAAACAGTGACGCCAAGAAAAGATTTGGGCATCGTGGTGGATAATCAGCTGAGCATGAGGTCCTAGTGTGACGCTGTAACCAAAAAAGCTAATGCACTCCTTGGATGTATAAGCAGAGGAATCTCAAGTAGGAATAGAGAGGTTAATTTTCCTCTATATTTGGCACTGATGTGCCCACTGCTGGATTACCATGTCCAGTTCTGGTGTCCACAATTCAAGAAGGATGTTGATCATCTGAAGAGGTTCAGAGAAGAGCTAGGAGAATGATAAAAGGATTAGAAAACATGTCTGATAGTGACAGCTTCAATGAGCTCAGTCTATTTAGCTTAACAAATAGAAGGTTAAAGGACTTGATCATAGTTTATAAGTACCTATAAAATATTTTGGGAACACACATTTAATAATGGGCTCTTCAATTTAGCAGAGAAAGGTATAATGTGATCTAATGGCTGGAAGATGAAGCTAAACAAATTCAGACTGGAAACAGGGTGTACATTTTTAACAATGAGGATAAGGAACCATTGGAACAATTTACCTAGTGTTGTGGTAGATTTTCCATCACTGACCATTTTTAAATGTAGTGGATGTTTTTCTAAAAAAATCTGTGCTAGGAATTGTGTTGGGGAAGTTCTTTGACCTGTGTCATCCAGGAGATCAGACTACGTGATCATACTGGTTTTCATTTTTTTCATCAAAAAAAAAAACAACTTCCCCCCCCTCCCCGCAAATTTCCCACAAAACACAATTAGCACTTTGCATCCAGCTCTGATGAAGGAGTAAAAATAAGCAATTCACTTGGGAATACAGATTGTCACACATAACCTAGAACTTCCTGGATATCCTCGTGACAGCACCTTACTGATAGTGGTCTTTCTGGAGAGATGCAAACTTGACTCTTTTTAGAGAATTGTGATTTTCTCATGTGAGCAGCTAGGCTTCAAGTACAATTAATTTTTTTTAAAAAAGCTAATGTTCTTCACCATTTTCCTTTGTCCTCTGAGGAAAATCGCATTGCTGAAGGATATGAAAGCTGTGAGTTTTGCAAGGCTGTTGCAAAGCCCATCCCAACCGTAGAAGACCTGGAGACACAACCACTGGAAACTGTGAGTAGCTGTGCTACTTAAACAATGAAGCTATCTTTTCCTGGTAATCTTCCAGCAGCAAAGCCAATAGGTTACCATGCCCTGGCAGTTCCTGATAACTAGTACCAAACATAGACCAGGACAGTGGAGGTGAGGGAACTGCTAGGTCTTTTGTAATATATTCAGGATTATACTTTGGTCAAGTAGTACCCTGGAAGGAAGAAAATTTGGCATCCCCAAGAATTCCTGCTGCCATCAGGAGTTGGACACAAGACAGGGTCACCCCAAAATCATTGTGAATTATACCAATGGAGGGAAAATCCACAACAAAAAATGGGAGCAGTTTGGTCCAGTATCCAGGGTGCAAGGCTTGAGATTCAGGACTCTTGTGATCTGTTCCTGATTCTACTATGGACTGAGGACATGAGCAAATCGCCTTTTTAATCTGAGCCTGAGTTTCCATAAATGTAGTATGATACATTACAGAAAGGGGAGGGAGACAAAGGAAGAAAGCTCCTGCTATATGCTGTAGTGATAATTTTTATGTCTGAAGCAGGGCAACAACCAGACATCAGAGTTGGGGAGGAAGGCAGAAGCAGGGCTAAGGGGGAAGTACCTGGGGAGGGTTGAGTGGACAAGCAATTTGGAGTGGATAGGAAATTGGATTAAGAAGGCAAGGGGGAGAAAAGAGGAGCACCTTTTGGGCATGGGTGTTGAGGAGGGAATGGGAAGAGATCACTGAAGGAGTGGATGGTCAGAGAAGCAAAATTGGAGGGAGACAGCCTGGCTTCAGTCAAGAGGAAGAGCTGTAGCTTGCGAGACAGAAGCATGGGATTCTTGGAAATGGAGCAGCAGTGAGTCAATGGGGGGAGGGATGGCTCAGTGGTTTGAGCATTGGCCTGTTAAACCCAGGGTTGTAAGTTAAATCCCTGAGGGGACCATTTAGGGATCTGGGGCAAAAATTGGAGATTGGTCCTGCTTTGAGCAAGGGGTTAGACTAGATGACCTCCTGAGGTCCTTTCCAACCCTGATATTCAATGATTCTACAAATGGGCCAGATCCACAGCTGGTGCAATGGAGCTAAGCAGAGAACCTGGTTTACTGGCATTAATAAAGCTACATGAAGTGGGAAAATCCTGCATCACTCATGATCTTGGCTAATCTCAGACTGCTTGCCTGTTGGGAGGAATGTGAAGCCGTGTGTGGAAAAGATCACACTTTTTGCCAGTTCCCTGTAGGCTGGTCCCATTGTGTTCCTATGTCTGGTGTATTTTGTAGATTTTGTGCTGCAGGATGTACAAGGACGTATTTGAGTGTGTGATCAAGGAGCTGATGGAAGGCAACTCATTTGACGAAGAGATTGATATTGCTCCTCATCCTCACCTTTCACAAACAGTGCTAGAAAGTGACACCAGAAAGAAACTTGAGCAACAGTAAGTGTCTCTGTGAGACCCCATGCTGATGAGGAAGTGCCAGAGAGCCCTAGTGACAGGGCTAGCCCCACTTCTCCAGCCTTGTCAATCATGTATGGAAGGGGAGAAGGCATTTAAAAAGGAGGAAACTGCAGTCAGCTCAGGATGGGGAGGAACAGGAATGCCCTAAGCAGGAGACTGCTGTGGGGACTCCTGAAGCCAGAAAGAGAACTCCCGTCTAAGAGACCCCCGACCCTACAGGGACTGCAGCAAACAACCAGGGTAAGGCTGACAGAGTAAGCCCAACTCAGCAGTCCAGCCAGAGAGATTTCTCAAAACCCACTCTGCAGGCGCTGTGTTGTTGGCTGCATTGTGGACTCCCCCCTCCTGCCCCCACAACCCTGTGAGAGGCTCTAGAAAGGGGGTACTCCTGAGTGCATTAGGGCATTTAACTTTCCTTCTGATCCCCCATCAAAAGGCAGGGCCTCCTTGCAAGAAGTAAGGCACTAAATCACTGGGCGTGGTCAGGTTCTCCTACCATCTGGGAGAAAAATCTCAGGTGACTTCTTTACCCTCTCCCATTATCCAGAACCTTTGCAGGAATCAGGAGTCCCTCTCCACTATGTTTCCTGACCAGTACACTAGAGCGTAACTGATGGAGCATTGCATGTAGAATTCCATATTCTCCTCAGTTTCCCATGTGGTTATGTACGTGGACAAGCAATAAAGCCTCTTCTTTTGGACCTAGAGTCAGTGGCTCCTGGAGGCGGCAGAGGGGTCCCATAGGCCTGCTGGACCCCACCTCAGTGTTGCCTCTCACAGAAGGCCCTGCTGGGCAGACAACAATGTTGACATGACCTGGGGTGTTCATGTGGAGTAATTATTTATATATGTAAATGGGCAGGTAGGACATCATGACCTAATGTCACATGTTTTTCTGAAATTGTTTAGGTTGTCATTAGCCAAAAACAAGTGTGTGATTTTAAAATATATTGTTTGTTGTCCTTAGGTTGCAAGAGAGAGGTTTTGATAAATACAGGGAACTGTATGAGCGGCATATGAGGTTTGGTGCCTGTAAGTACGGTAACCATGGTACTGTTTTAGTCATTGTGTTTGATTTAGAATCATGTCGGACAGAGATGGAAGAGACCCGTTAGGTCACTTGTAATCCATCTTCTAGTCAGGGCAGGATTGTTCCCTCCAGAACATTTTATAGCATATTGGCCATTTAGTTTAACTACCCTAAGCAATGAGGCTTTCATCACTCCCCTTGGGAAATTCTCCCACAGACTCCAGGGGTATGTCTACACTGCACCTGGGAGTGGGTCCATACACAGACTTGTGTTAGCAGGGCTCACCCTGGTGTGCTCAACATTAGTGTACAGACACTGCAGCTCAGGGTGGCACTCAATCTCTCAGTGCCCGCCCTCCCCCCCCCCCACTCGGAAGCCTGAGGTGCAACGTCTACACAGCGATTTTTAGCGTACTAGCACAAGTCTGTGGACCTGGTCTGGGAGGCTCACTCCCAGATGCAGTGTAGACAGACCTATAGAGCTCATCGTCAGGTTTTCCCCTAAAGTTTCCTTGCAGTTGGTTTACCCTTAAACAGAAGCGCCACGATATAGATGAGATTAGGGCTAACTCTGAGCTTCGAGAGGCTGAGCTGCACTGAATTCCCTGAACACTTTCATTTTAAAATTGTTTCAGTGACCAAAATTTCATTTCAATTCTCGCAATTCCAAGAAGAGAATCCAGCACTGTCTCAAACTCCTGAAGACCTGGATGCAACGTTCAGAGCAGAGCACTTAAAGGTGTGTGATGATAACCTGACAGCTGCATTCTCTTCTGATGCTAGTACCTATCGCTCCACATAAGTAAGTTTTCTGAATGTTCACGAGATTTTGTCTATTCAGCAACATCTCTTGAAAGTGTTGTTATAAGGGCAGCAACACCTGTGACAGAAAATCTCAATGGAACTTAGAAAAGTGGGATGGTGACACGAAACCTTTCACTCGAACCGTGAGATGAATACGCTGAGCCTCTGCTTTAGAGAGAACACCGCTCTCTGTGAGTTGGCACAACTGTTCAGCCCTCTCGCCACTGTGTACTCCACTTTACACGTCTATTCAGGGGCTTGCGCCAGACCTAGGCCGGTAAAGTGAGTACACTGCAAGTATCTGTGGATCCTGTAACTAGCATACGGAACCCTCCTGCCTGTGGAAAGTACAACCCCAAAATAGGGTGACCAGATGTCCCATTTTTATAGGGACAGTCCCGTTTTTGGGGACTTTTTCTTATACAGGCACCTATTACTCCCCACCCCGTCCCATTTTTTCACAGTTGCTATCTGGTCACTCTACCCCAAAAGAAAGATTTTGGAGGATACCGTCTATTCTATGAACTGCCCAGAGACATGGTTTATTATTATTAATTTATTTGTGCTGGACTAGCCCCGAGCAGTCCCAACAGAAATCAGGACTCCATTGTGCTAGATACTGTACAAACCCATTAAGAGAGAGTCCCTGCTCCGAAAGACCTTACAGTCAAAATAGACAGACAACAATTGAGAGAGAGGAATTATTATTATCCCCATTTTACAGAAGGGGATCTGAGTCACAGCAAAATTACATGACTTGCCCACGAGACAAGATGGGTGAGGTAATATCTTCTATTGGCCAATTTCTGTTGGTGAGAGAGACCAGCTTACAAGCTATACAGAGCTCTTCTTCAGGTCTACGCAGAGCTCCTCTTCACCTAGACCTGAAGAAGAGCTCTGTGTAGCTCGAAAGCTTTAGAGAGCCAACTTCAAATCGGAGCATCGCTCGTGAGTGAGCACGGAACTAGTGTCTGATTCCTGTCTCCAGTTCTACACAGGAGGCTATTCACAATTTGACCCCAGTCGTGGTGTCTCTCACTAGCGATCCAGACAGGATGTTGCATACGAGTACTGAGACGCACTGGCAGAGCAGGGGTGGGAGGTGGATCAAAGCAGACACAGTAGCTGCTCTTAGGCAGTGTGCTTGGTTCAGAGCAGTGCTCTCATACTCTTGATTTCCCTTCTGAATTCTTAAAATAGGTGTGTGTGGGGGGAAACAATTTCACATGCATGGTAGCTAATTTTTCAGAGTTACAGAGGACTTTTTATTTTGTCCACCCGTGGTAAGAGCGAGACACAGGTAACAGAGCTCTTCATCTGGCAGGGACCAAATATATGACCTAGACCTAACACAAAACCACCACAGCCAAACAGCAGAGCAGGGAGCCAGAGATATGCAGGATCCCTCCTTCAGCATGCCTCTGGTTTCTTGTAGTCTGTTTCCCCACCGTTTCACAATGCAAACAGTGAGATAACAGCAGACGTGTCTGGAGAGAGGTAACTTTGAAGCTGATTTGAGTGCGGTGCTTCATAAGCAGGCACAGCTGAAAGTTATGCAGGGAGCCAGTTCATTTACACTAGGATGTGCCTCTGGACTGGGGTGTGATTTGCTGGAAGTGTTCAACTGCTTTTATAACAGATGTATACTGTGTAGACATATGTATTAGCAAAAGCCAATGATTTACACTGGACTGGAAACCAGTTTATGTACAGGAAGGTAGCAATATGATATGTTGGCTTTTCCCTCCTGATTCCACACCTCTGCTCCTTCATTCACTCCCGGCAAGGGTTTCTTCAGATCCATGTCACAGAACTACAGCCAATAATCTAGGGCTGGGCTCCTGTTGAGTAGCCCCTTTATTCCATGAGGAGTTTCAATCCTATTGTCTCCAGTACGTCACACTCCCCATCAGTACCCGGCCAGAGCTGAGGAAGCTAACGATCCAACCAGAGAACCAAATTTGGTGATGAATCTTGGTCACTTGCCACCTGAGGCACATTGCGCGTACCTGAAGAGGAAGTGGCAATACCCAAAGATAAGTTGCCACTCCATGGGCCTGAGGCTCTCCTGTGTGGTGCCGATCACCCCCAGCTCCCATGGAAGACAATGGGATTAGAAGGTGTTCGACACCAAACCTGCATTGTGAACAAGGGCTGGGCTGTTATGTTGAAATCCCTCCTGCTTTCCAAAGCAGAAAATGTTACAGAACCCATAAATTTACATGAAAATTACCTTGATTTACATCACAAGCAGTGGATGTTTTTTTTATTGTAGATCTAGAAATCCATTATACTACTTTCCCCCGTGAGCTATGTGCATGACAAAGCCTCCTATCTAGAACTGTCTGCTTTTGCTCGTCATAAAAAGTCTTTGAAAAATGGAAGCCAGAGCAACATTTATTTCTCCCCGCCCACCCCCTCACAACCAGGAGATCATTTTTAGCTAGTTTGCAGAGCTAAAATATACATCCTCGGGCTGGTTATAAATTAGGGCTCTTGTTATGGCCAAAATCAGTCACTTCACGCAGGAGAAAGGCCTCTTTCTGCATTTCAGAATTAGCTGTTGCTTTAATAATGCGAAAATGCTAGACTGCAAAGCCGCTCCCGCTCGCCCCACCCCCCCACTAACAAAGCAAACAGTTCGGCATTTTTCTAAGAGAAGCAAATGGCTCTGCTGTTCATTCCTACAAGGAAGCATGGCGCTCAACCTCATGCAGCGCTTGGAGCCAGCCCCAAAGTGAAGACGTGTTTATATTTTCTCTGCAATCATCTGTCAGTACATTACAGGGTAAATTAACTTGTGTGTCTGATGGAAAGAAAGCCTCTTGGCAAAATATTATCGGGAAAAGGCTACTAATATAAATGAAAGAGAGCCGAGCTTTGTACATAAGACGTGTAAAATATAAACTATGGAGAGTGTTGTCTCCTGTGTCAGTTAGCAGACTTTTAATTAAAAACCAACTTCAAGGGCAAAATGGGAGATACAGCATCTATAGATGTATATTATTGGGCCAAATGCTTTGGTCCCAGTTGGAGATGAGCAAATATTGGAGGAGATCTTGTTTGTGAATATCGTATTTGGAATCTCAGTCTCTCTGTCACATTGTTACGGATTTTTAGTTGGGGGTGCATGCGCTGCATACACAATCGTGAAAAATTCCTGATGGGTATTTGGCCTGGAACTCCTCTCCTCACCCCACGCTTTCTCTCTTCACCAGATCACTTTATTTCTACAGGTTTGTCATGCTCGTGACCCTGTAAGAAGATATTATCCTGATGGGCAGAAATTCTTTCTTCTTTTTCCAGATGGGACAGGTCAGGTTTTGTATCTCGCAAAGATGTATTCCTTTAAATAGTGGGTCAAATTTCAGAATGATCTAATTGAGGATTTTTCTGGCTAGGAGTTTCCGCCTGTACTAACAGATAAACTAGGTCTCAACATTGTGAGCCAAATCCGCAGCTGGTGTAAAGCAGCTTCAGTAACTGCAGAGGTGCTATGCTGATTAAAATCAGCCAAGAACCTGACCCTTTGAGTCTACTGAGGGTGGTGTTCCACTGAAATCTGCCTTATTGCAGGAGCTGTGTGTGTGGGGGGGGGGTGTTTGTTTTTGGGGGGAGGGTTTTCCTTAACTATTTCGCAGTTATCCATCAGGTAACATTGCCGTCCTGATCGTGTATGTCAAGGAAGTACAGTTTATATACGTCATCCTAGAGGATCACACATACTCAGGGATTCAAGCATTCTTCACAAACCGCGGCTATGCCACGTGCTACCATAGGAATGGGCTCATCTGGTGAGCACAAGTACTGTTAGAGAGTCTTCCAGCCAGTACGAATGATTACAGCCAGGAAGCCCGGGCCTAATGATCAGTGACTGGGGACACCACCTTGGCTTTTGGGGTAGGGAAGTCTCAGCGGTGAGGATAGCTAAGCAGGCAGGAGCAGCTGGAGATTTGGCACACTTCCACCAGCTGCAGTGCTGCCAACTCTCCTAGGGAAGGAGCTGAGCCACTTGCTAGCTGGTCACAGAGGAGGAGCGATGTGCCACTGGGACTTGGGGGAGCCCAGCTGTGTGGGTGGAGAGGGGGTTGCAGAGTGACAGAAGCCCTGCTGTCCTTTGGACTGCTCCTGGTGCATCCAACAGCTAGGTTCTAAAACCTATGGGTGCTCATTTGGCCAGTCCAGCCTTGATTGATTATTGAGTATTGCAGCAGCACCTATGAGCCCCAATCATAGACTAGGGCCCTGCGCTAGGTGCTGTACAAACACAAGACAAAAGGTGGCCCCTGTCCTGAGGAGCTTGCAATATGTGCATAAGATAGGACCCAACATATTCATACAACAAACAAACAGGGGAGCACAAGGTAACTATGAGCCAAAACCGATCAGCATACTCCACTTAAGAAATAGCGACAGCGGACCAAAGGCAGCCCACTACCCTCAGACTTAATCCAGAGGTATAACCTTCATAGACTACAGGCCATATGGTACTCCATTGTGAGCTGAGGCAAGGGCCATTCAGCCCGAGACATGCTAGTATTTGTAGCAAGAGTGTCACAGTTCTTCTTTAAAGGGGACAGTAGCTGCTGTCTGCTGCATTTTATATACATTAATTGTAGACTGAGGTCTTTGGGCAAGTTGCCAGTAATTCTGAGTGTTCAGAATTTCAGAGTTTCATTACCCCAGTTACACATCTCAGTCTATTGCTACCCCCTTGCTATCAGTTGGCTTAAACCCAGTTATGCCACCATTCCTGGCTTTTACCTCCCAATTTGTTTTGCCCAGACTCTGTATATTAGTCTGTGCATCGGAATGGCAATTGCAAGGGCCAGTATCATTTGGCTTCATGGCAACCTTGCATTTGGTTTGTTTCTCATATCCAGTGAATGCTCCAGGCCATAAAGCATTGCTCAGGTGACCAATTTCTTCCATAGACTAAACCCTAATATCTAATGATAGATTGTTTGCAACAGGAATCCCTGCTTTTTAAGTCATCAAATCCTAATTTCCAACCCCCGGCTCCCAGAAAGTTTACCTTAAAAAAAGCCAGGGAATGAAAGACATCAATGCAGCACATAAATATCAGTTTTTCATTTTAATCTCTTACACGGGGAAGCAAGTGTGTGCTGATTTAAATTTTACAAGTCCTCCCTGTGTTGAAACTAATTATTGGATACATTAAATGTCTTACTGGCTGTTACAAATCATTGCAAATAGCTTTTGTAATAACACATCCATAAAGGCCACTACCCTCCCAGTATTTGCCTCCAGACACATTGCTCTTTCATCCATCATGAAGCAGTATGATTTTTACAACACTGTAACACAGCAATTCCTAGCAGCAGTAAAATACCACTGACCCCCTAGGCTTGAACCTCTGTTTTCCACCTCTTTCTCCTGCTGTCTTTCCATTACTCTTCTTTGTCTCTCTGGTCTGGAAATGCTTGTGCAGTCGCTTTAAGAACGCAACGGTGGCTCCTCTTGTTTTCAGAAGCATTCCAGCCATTTGTTTCCCTTATTTCAGTCCTTCTCGCTCTCTTCGTCTACAATTGTGATTGTAGAATAATGGTCCCTCGTTTTTATTGTTTGCACCAACTGGAGTCATATCACATCACCTACACTTGTTCGTATTCCGATGGCAATTGGGCCACAGTAGCAATCATGGATCAGAACGAGAAATATTATAGTGCAGCAGCGAGAAGCAAATCCCAGAGAGAAGCAAGCATCATAGTCACAATCCTATTTTCACCATGAGAATGAGTTTATGGAAATGCCCTGCCTCTGAGTAATCTTAAAATTTAAGATTGCTTAACCATGTGCTTCTCATTCCATGATCACAACTTACAATGCACTTAGTTGATCTGCCTCTGCCTTTCTTCAATTCTTTGAGTTAACACATAATCACTCCAGATTTCTTTTGGGATTGGTACAAGTTTTTTGGGGGGAACATTAGGGCCACGATCCTGAGCTGGTGTAAATGGTGTAGCTGATTTACACTAGCCAAGGATCTGGTCCGTGATTTATAGCTGTACTGTTGTGAGAGGGGATACCTTTGCTCGGTGCTTCACTGTAGAGAGAAATTAAGGGCTATATAGAATAAATGACTGTTACAGTACATTTTTTAAAACCCTTGGTTTCAAAATAAAACTAACGCACTTTTGTGCCATCTAATTTTAACATAGACCAGTTCAAACATGTCTTCAATTTGTGCTCCAGAGCAGCCTAGCGGGGGTGTATTATTGTTTTGCATTTCTTTTAATACTTGACACATAATGTAACATGTCTGCTAAGCCATTCACCGGCCATTGTTCTGGTCAGTTTTGTGTTGTGGTGAGGTAAGAATCAATTTCTTTATATTTAAACTAGACAAAAATTCAGACTGACAAATAGGCTGAATTATAAAAACTATCTGAACTCCTCATTTGGGGGCCATTTATCAGTTCTCAGAGTGATCTCCCTGATTGCCTCTCTGCCCGTGTTGTATCTTGTGAATTTGTGATTTTCCATTTCATTCAGCTCTCTTTATCCCACAAGTCAGCTCGCTCGCTCATACAAACACAAAATATACAGAGAACATGTATTTAGTTTTAATTGAAATGCTGCACATGTATAAGGTACAAATACATACAGATTCCCACTGATTTCACTAGGTCAGGATCAGATCCTTTTAACATATGGGCAAAATCATAATGAAAATATGAGGCCATCAGCTGCTGTTATTTACACAGAGGCAACCCTCTAGCTGGAAGGGCGTGGGGGTTGCCAGTGGAAATGATGGCAGAGTTTGAGCCACAGCATCAAAACTGAGCAAGTGAGGTGAGTTACATTAAAGCGAGGAGAACAGCGGCACAGCCCCAATTCACATACATTTCTCCTCCTTCAAGCTGCCAGGATATAGTGTTAGCTCCTGAGAGTGTAATTCTTCAGAGATTTAATCTTCTTGTCTAGGGGTTCTCAAACTTCATTGCACCGCAACCCCCTTCTGACAACAAAAATAACTACATGACTTCAGGAGGGGGGACCAAGGGCTTCAGCCCCAGGTGTAGGGCCTGTAACCTGAGCCCTACCACCCAGGGCTGAAGCCTTTGGCCCTAGGCAGTGGGGCTTCAGCCCCGGGCCCCAGCAAGTCTAATGCCAGCCCTGACGACCTCATTAAAGTGGGGTCGTGGCCCACAGTTTGAGTACCGCTCTTCTAGCCCTAGAGTGAAATCCAGTGGTCCTTTGGACTCACACTGTAATAAAAGTGTCAGACTGCGTGTTATAGACAGCATCAAAGCCTGTTTGGGGGAGCCTGAAAGGGTTTACTCTTTGATTCCAGTATGAGGAGAAATGGCTAGGGCATGACATCACCATTCAGAATGGAAAATGGGTCACAAAGCACTTTGGGCCCAAAAGGCTTGCACTGCTAGGCCAAACCAGAATAGGTGAGCCCCCCTGCCTCCATCCCACACAAGAACTTCTCAGAGTTCCTGCTGAATAAACACAGCAGAATGAAATTCAGTCCTGGGAACAGGAACCGAACTAGGCTGATGCACCACTTACACTTCGCTTACAACCTTAAAATAGGGCTTACGTGGTACATCAAGCTAGTGCAGCTGGCCCTCTGCGCTGGGGTGACCTTCACCCACCAGGGCGTATAATATAGCAACACAACACACAGAATAAGTGCCTAGCCACTCACTGTCAAAGTGGCTGTACTTAAACCCTCAAGAAAAGCTGCAGTGGAAGTGTCATTTTGCTCTGTTAGTGGGAATTAGGAAACAAAAAGCATCGTAAAATCATTTTCTGGGGGTATATCAGCCCACAAAATAACAAAGGAATTAAGTTCCACTCATATAGGTCGTTTTTCATCTAACTGTATGTACTGTGTGCTCCTCCCCATGGTATGTGAGTGCCTTACACTTACGATCAAAACACAGTAGAAGGACCCTCTCAAGGCCTAGTCTAGTTTTTTTTCTACAGGCAGCTGGAGTGAGCAATTGTGATGCTACTTTAATAGTTTTTTGTGGAATAAGTGTGTGACTTTGCCTCTCAGCTCTGGCATTTGCGATGTTCAGTTAAATAATCCCCTTTTGAGGCCATTGAAAATAGTACTCCAAAAACGGCTGTTGGAGAACAGCAGGTGAGAGATGGTCTTCTGCTTGGAAGTGGTTAATCTTATAGCCAGAAATCCTTCCAAGAGGCTATGTAGGGAGCTGCCTTCTTCCACAGCTAGCCATAAGCACCCATTGGGAGCAGCACACATACACCTACCCTGCTCCAACTGCTTTACAAGTATTCCAGTTATCTCTGTTGCATTTTGAGTACCGACAGCAAGGAGTTCAATGGTGAGTGTGTATAGTGTAGGGGAAAGACTGCAGCCCGGCTCGGTGCCACTGTGTAAAAGAAAAGTACCAAAGGGATACATATCAATGGTGAGAGCTCCCTTAGCTCAGGAATATAGATCAGAGGTGGGAAAACACCTGTATGGTTTTAGCATCAAATACTTGCTCAGCTGTGGGAGGTGTACCACACACACTGGCTTCCCCTCATTTTGACAGGCCACTCCCGTGAAGCGTCTGGTGGCTGTAGAGTAGCTATTTGCCTAAGATGAAGCCCGTATGGTCCAAGTGAAGCAACTGGACTTCCGTTAAGTTGGATCAGATGCAATGGGGTCAAAAAAAGCTCATCAGCCACAGTCTGGGGCCGATTTTCAAGAACTCTGCTCCCATTCAGGGAGCAGATGAAGAGCCCTGCATGTTGAGCACTGAACTTCTTTAAAAACCCAGCCATAAGTATTATCACAGGACCAAGGCTCTTTTGAAACTCTGGCTGCAACTGTGGGGGGCTGAGCCCTTGAAAATCTGTTTCCTAGAGCTCCCTCCGCCTTCCCCACTTTCCCTTCATTATGGAAACTGTGCTAAGTAGGGCTGGTCAGGAACATACCAAAACTGTTTGAGGGAACAGGTCATTTTCAACAAATTTCTGGGCTCAAAATTTTTTGGAAAATTTGTTTTGAAATTGTCTAAACATCCCATTTTGACATTGCCAAACAAATGTCCATTTTGTTTTCAATCTGAACCAACCTTTCCTTTTGAAATTTAAGCTAATTATAGTACCAATTTTAATAAAAAAGTCAAAATTGAAACCAAACATCACGATTGACCTGACCAGATTTGATTTATTCTTTCTTTGATTGTCAGCTCACAAGAACTTTTGAGCTTGGCTTTTCATCCTGATTGGTGCTAGGAACATTTTTTCAAAAAAATCTCAAAAACGTTCCTGGGATGAAAAAAAACATTTCCTACTCGGCTCTGCTTACGAGTGCATCCATCACTCGATAGGGGTTACCGTAAATGAAGCTTTTGTGTTTGACTGAGTTCACAAGCAAAACATGCCAGGCATGATTCGGATCTCCTTCCTACTGCAGAGTATCAGGAGAAACTACACTGATGGCAACAATTACACCAGTGAGAGGACAGTGGGTCCTAAGAGGCCAAAGAGAGACATTCTTCGTTATTTATATTCCCCAGGCAGTGTGTACTTTGGTCTTCTGCATGCCTTAACTCAGACTCTTTCTCTAGGCTGAATCTGGATAGCCACACTGGCTCCTACTTCGATAAGAAAGGAAGAAGACAGAAGCACTGGAGTTGGCATGACTTCAGCCATCATGTTCATGCACCACCTTTCCAGCCCATCTGCATGAAACTAAACATCTATATCAGGATTAAAATTGTGGCTCAGGAGAAAATTTACTTATCATTTGCTAAACAACAAAACTGCATCCATTTCAACATGGGGGCTAGGCTAAAGGTAAGTTCTCAGAACTGAGCATCAGTACTACAGATCCATTTCCTATTTACCAATTAATGGGACTAAGCTGTCCCAAAGGACAGGGCATTAACTTCTCCATAGAAAAGGCTCGACTGAGATGTGACATTTTCTGGAGTCCTGTTAGTGCCCGTTGTTAAAAATCCTTACTGACTACTTAGTTTATTTCACATCTGCAATTGCTGCTGAATAGAGCTAGCTGGAAATTGTACACTGGAGCATTCTTCTGTCAGAAAACGCTGTTTCGGCCAAATTGAAACTTCCACTGGGACTGATTCTGATGAAATTTCATTTCAGAAAAGAAATAAAAAGCATTTTGATCAGGTTAAAACATTCCATTTTAACATTTTCAGAACAGAAAGTTTTGATATTTTTGTTTCAACATTAGTTTTCATTTTGAAATATATTATAGAAAATAAGTCAATGGAAACAACAAGTCAATGGGGAGGGATAGCTCAGTGGTTTGAGCTTTGGCGTGCTAAACCAGGGTTGTGAGTTCAATCCTTGAAGGGGCCATTTAGGGATATGGGGCAAAAAATTAGGGATTGGTCCTGCTTTGAGCAAGGGGTCGGACTAGATGACCTCCTGAGGTCCCTTCCAACCCTGATATTCTATGAAAAGTTTTGATTTTCTCGAAACAAAATGTTTCAATTGTCCTGAAACTAATTTTTTTTCCCCCCAGAATGGTTTTTCTTCCAATTCAGAACTAATCCTATGAAATGGAAAGTCTGGTTCCTGCCCAGCTAGCTCTCCTGCTGAACTTGGCTTAATAGGGTAGTGAACTTGCAGGCATACATGTGTACATCAGTGCCCTCTGCTGGATGAAAACAGAACTACTCAGCTCTTGACCATTGTTCCTATATTACTAGCAGCTATGGAAATCTCTTAGCTCAAGTGGTATGGGTCTTGTGGCTTTGAAGTGGGAGGGATAGCTCAGTGGTTTGAGCTTTGGCCTGCTAAACCCAGTGCTGAGAGCTCAATCCTTGAGGGGGCCATTTATGGATATGGGGCAAAAATTGGGGATTGGTCCTGCTTTGAGCAGGGGGTTGGACTAGATGGCCTCCTGAGGTCCCTGCCAACCCTGATATTCTATGATTTTATGAAGCAGGAAAATCCAAGTTCACACCTATAAACAGTAAGCTGGAGTCCACAAGTCCCAAGACGTTTCCTCAGCTGTTGTACTGATTACTGCACTGCTGAAAGTCCCACTACACAACCTCCCCACGCTCATCTTTTAAAAAATTTAGCTTGTGGGAGAAAGACAAATTGGAGATGGAGGGATTAGTTCCACCTGTCATAGAATCATAGAATATAAGGGTTGGAAGGGACCCCAGAAGGTCATCTAGTCCAACCCCCTGCTCGAAGCAGGACCAATTCCCACACTGTCTTCACTCAACTTTACTCAGTTCCTGTGTGAAGGACCTAGGGACACTGTTGGACCTTCCTGAGACTTTTAATGAAGGTTTGCTTGGCTTTGTAGAAATTACTCCAGAATGTGACCTCAAATAAAATCAAAATGCATTTCTTGGGGCATGCCCTGATAGCAGGGGGGTCTCACAGAATGATGCATTGTGGGATTATTTTCAGTGAACAAAGGACGCACCAGGAGGATTTCACAGTAAACAGGTGTGAAGAGTTTAATTTACTTTCTGCAGCAAATAACCCCTATCTCACGTGGACTACTAGGGACGCTGCTTCAAGATGTATAACTATTTTAGATGTTTACAGGTGACGATTTAATGTGGTTTAAATTAAAGCTGTAAACACACTGCAGGAGACGGATAGTGCAACATTTTTTTTGATATTCTGCAATTGGGACTATAAGTAATAAGCATGCTGCCTTTCCGGTTGGCTCGGAAGATTAAGTTCTCTTTACATTGGCTATGTTGCAGTTGAAAGACACAGCCACACTCCACTTACTTAAACCAGCAGAAAGCCAGCTGGGACTACTCCTGCACTCCAAAAGCATTCAGATCAACAGCCTCCTAGCCAAAATGAAGGAAGTACTACAAGACCTGCAGCGCACGCCATTGGACAAAATTCAGACGCTGCCCCGTGTTCTAGCACAGCTGCGTAAACTGCTGAAATGGAGATGCAGAAAGACTCTTGCCCAGTAGACACGCCGGGTGTTGCAATGTTAGATTTCTCTCTTGTCAAGTAAGGTTACATGGGCAGTTCACTGTGGAAACAATAAAACTCATTTTCAAGCATGTCGTAAGTGTTTAGCTGTATTCCAGCGTAGAGCAGCTATGGCACTAAACAGCACATTTGAAAATAGGCAGTGGATTGTATATGCCTACGGATCGACAGTACATGCGCGCGAGTTTGACAGAATGAGAAGGTGGTTCTTATAGGTAGGAGAAAGGACAATAGGGGTCACCTTCAGTTTGGTGGGAGCCTATATCGGACCGTGCCTGTTGTGTGACCCAGTGAGCAGGCCTGGCTCCCTGGCCCAGCATTTCTGCCCAGAAATTCATTGTGGAATGAATACGCAGCATGCGTATAATGTAACAAAACACCCCTCATGGTTACTAAAGGGGAAGGGTCTGAATATGAAAGAAAGGAAAAGATTGTGGATGAAGAGCCTTGTGTGGTATGAACTCTCTCCAATTCTTATCACAGTGATCGTTCTAGGAGCTTAACAGTGAAGTAGCCTGAGCGACTAGGGTTGGTATTGAACAAGCTGGCTGGTGTGTTTTTATTTGAGGCTTTCAAAGTGAGACAGGGTGAAGAGAATGGGGCTCTGCCACAGATCCTAAGCGAAACGGCAAGTTAATCAAAGAAATGGAGCTAAGAATTTTTTTCCCTCTGTGAACTAGTTTTCTTAAATGAAACAGGCACCACAAACAGTCTGTCCTTGTAAGTCACTTTCTCCAGTCTTCATGATTCTCTTGCTCTCTGAAAGGCCTTCAGTTTGTCTACAATTTTCTTGAAGAGCCCAGACCTGAATGGAGTATATTCTTGGAGTGGTCTGACTGGTACTCACTGAAAAGGGACTGCAAGTTCACTGCTCTCCAACAACATATGGTCTCTGTGCATATAGCCTAAATTTTTTTGCTCCCTACCATTTCACAGTACCAGCTCATACCTAATTCACTATGATCAAACTTGGGCCTCTTAATGTACTGAATGCCAGATTTCTCTCCCCTTGATTAGCTGGGTTTCATATTTCCCCCAGGTACAGTAGCTTGCATTTTAACAAGTTCAGATTCATTTTATTATTTCCTGACGATATTTCTACCTCTCTAGGTTCCTTTATTAGTCATCACTATACTTTCTTTAGTCTTTCAGCTAGTTTTCCATTCATTTGGCAGCACTCATAACCAAATCAATTTCAATTAGTTTTTCCAAGTAAAATTTCAAAATGCTATCAAATGATGTACCAGAATTCAGATCTTAGACGTTTATTAGTTTAGTAAATGTATTAAAAGGTGATCATGTTCATGTGGTATGACATTCTTTATAAACTCATTCTGCTTATTCTTTATGGCTGTTATAGATGTTTACATCCAGTGTACCTAGGAAGGCATGACGTTACAGAATTTTATAAACTTAGAAAAAAATTACTTATCTAATAAATATTCCTTCCATAAACTGAGTGTGTTCTGAAGTGTTTTATGTTGTCCCCACATCATTCCTCCTGTTTGAAACTTCTTGGCTTGGACACAAAGGGTGCCCCTATGATTTTCACTATTGTACTAGCAATTGGGATGGATGTGGAAATTGGATCAAGACTCAATACAAATAAATAATAATGTCCAAAAGACTTCTTTGGGTGCCACTTAGTTATTCACTCCATTTAGTTTTGTACGGTATAATTCAAACAGGTGTTAGAACCTTGCCTCTTCATTATGTTGTGTGTGTCCAGGGGAGTGATCAGGAAGCAACTGCTGTGAACCACCGCTGTGTGACAATTAAACCACTTGAATTCTACAAATGAGATTAGGGAAAACTGGATTTTTTAAAAATAGTTAATTCAAATGCCACTATCAAAGGCAAGGGATAAATGGGAAGTTTATATTGCCATTACAAGGAAGAAACCACAACCCTCTGGAAGGAACGTTCCTACAGGACTGAATACCAGAAGAACAATACATTCAATACCTAACGGCAAAGGACAGATAGATGAGCCTGGAAGTAGCTAGGCAACAAGAAAAAAGTCATTAAATAAAATAAGGGTTGAATAATACTTGTGTGTTCTGCCATCAGGTCCCAAGTTTACTCTTAGCAAAAGCCAATTAGTTAAAATATTACAACTTTGGCTTCTTCCCTATAATAAAATTGCAGTGAAGAGACCATTTAGTCACACAAAATCCTTCATGAGTAAAGAAAATACAAATTTACTTTTATTATGACTATAAAGAGATAAATTTAACACAATTAGCCGCACACTCAGTACTCAGTGATACATCTGTCTGTGCTAGATAAAGTCAGTGCTCTTACTGCTAACAACAAAATAGATCTTGTCTTTCTTAATGAAGCATTGTGCATGCCTGCAGGATATTTATTGGTTTGCCATTACAGTTATCTTGTCAGACAAGTCTCAAATACACACAAAGCTTTACTCAGGGACCAAAATAGGAAGCAAAATTTTTATTTAAAAAAGAAACATTAAAAACAGCAAATGTCTAGTCAGATCATATAAAGCACTTTAAATTAATCTTTTGACATTATTTACACTATTGTATATGTAAATATCTGAAACTGTACATGTTTAAACAAATCTTCATTTAGCAAACAGGCTGAATAAACTGATTGCTCTTGTAATCTTTTAAATCAGCTGTCCTAGAGCTGTCTGAGTATTTTAGAAGTGAAAAGATTCAAAACACAAGACTAACATAATATTTTATCCTTCAGACCATTTCTGTACAATTAATTCAGTCATAACTCTGTACAGCAATCATGCACTCTTTTGTAAAACACTATAAAAAGACCAAATGTACATACATTACAAGGCATTGGACATTATTTTACAGCCTAGGTTCTTGAATAGGTAAAGGGAAGGGGTATGTTCTCTTCCTTGTTAGTTCTTTAGTTAATTTCAAAAAAGCTACATGAGATCCTGTAAGTACCATTTCCATTCCCCAGAGCATCTGCTATAATGCTGCTCATGGTGGCTTTAAAACTTGCCTTTTTAGTATCCAGTCAGCTGATCTGTAACAGCAAAACTGATACCAAAAATATGTAAAATTTCTACAACATGCAAGCTAGAGAATAAGTAAAAATCTGCCATTTAAGTCACTGTATTGCCTTTCACATATCTATACAATAAGGTCAGTAAAGACACTTTTAAAGCCATTTTCAGTGTTTCATCCAGTTTATGGACAAGTGTTTATGCACTTAACCTTCTGAAATGGAACATACCAATGTTGTGTATCAATCATTCATTGCACGCTGACCATAAACAGATGTTACACATATGCATAGTTTACTGATCAGCAGGTATTTCTCTCATGACCCTAACTTAACAAAGGTGCTTTTGTAGTCACTCATCATCTACTTCTCCTTTACACATCTTTACTCCAGAGCACCAGTACTGCACAAGTTCCATAGTCACAGCTTTGCCACCAGGAGCTGCTCTTTGAGCCCCTTTCTCTGGCCTACAGCATCTTAGCACTCACTTCTGACAATGCAGCTGCACTGCTCAACCTTAAATCAGAAAAAATAGAAACCCTTAACCTGAAACCTTAAGTACCTGAAAACTTTAATGCTAAGCCTTACCTTTGCCATAAAGCTTTTAGTACATGGGTCGTTCCCCCTCACAAACATTAACAATTATATTGCACAGCTTTCCACTGCAAACCCCACATAGTCATTTCATAACACAGTCAGAACTCTTTAAAGATTCTTCACTTAGAGCACTCCAGAATATCAAAGTACAGGTGTTCATGCTCACGTCTACTAATCATTACAGGGCCCCCAAAATACATTGCATCAAATATTGCAGAACATTCTGAAATTCAAGGGAAACAAGACCGTTTTCACAAACTAATATTCTTTGAACTATGTTCTTCAAATGCATTGTGGACGAATAGGATTCTTCGGAGGGCTGAGAAAAACAAGTGTGGCTGTCAAAACAAAGTTACAGCAACACCTAACACTCAGGTCACCATCTCATTCAAGCACCCTGCACAAGGACTTTTTCCAACTTGGATTTCCTGTCATTTATCGTCCGTGTGTCCTGTGAAATTGCTACTTCTTTTACTGCACACACATCTTTTCCATAAAAGGAAAAGAAGTAAGGTCTTAAATATATTTAAGTCTTAGCATTTCAATCTGAGACGCATTTACATCTAATGGCAAGGCAGAAACTGAGCTTGGATAAAAATCTTCAGCGAGTTTGTTCCCTTAAGTTTTAGGAAAGAAAAAACTGCTGTACTTGAAACAATTTGTAGAACTCAATTCTTCTGTAAATCAGTATTGAGCAGCCTGGGGGGTATTAAAGTTGATGCCTTGATGGATCCCAGTGTAAATCCTTTATTTACTTCTGGCAAATGACTTCATCTCCCCTTCGCTGCCTGGCATACCACTGAAATTCACCTCAAACAGCCTGACTGTTGGGCTATTTAGACATTGACAAAAGTAGGTTCACCTGAAAGGCAAAATTAAAGTATATGTTAGCTATTGTGTTGTTACCATCATCCAAGGTCAGGAGCAGACTTATGCCGTTTGAGCATCTAAACAAACATTCTACGAATCTCCAAGGATTTAGAGGAACCAAGAGAACAATTATAAGAATATTGGTCAATCACCAGTTCTAGCTAACTTACAGACTCCTACTATGCAATCGATGACTTGACAGACTAGCTCTTTCAGCTGTTACAGTCTATTGTGTCAACACAGCTTCTAATAAGTGTGTGTGTATCTGCATGTAATTTTAAAAGAAAGTTATGTGCAATAGGCATTTGAGAGACAATTAGGTAAATTTAAAATACCCAAGAGGCACATTCTGAATCATTTACATTATTAATAACCTGCAAACTTTAGCTTACATAAACCAGAAGGGGAGGCATAAAAGAGATCCAAAAGACTGGGGCATCATTGTCCATCACTGAAAGAACAGAAATCTGACTACTGTGGGGAAAAATCCACCTTATCCCAGTAGATTATTCCTGCTCCATCTTCAGAGGAAGTTAATACTCTTCTCCCACTTCATGTTCCCTGTCAAAATACCCTGTAGGGAAATTCCTCCTGTCCACATATTTGATGAATAGTTTAATACTGTATGAACAAGAATCACCAGTTGATCCCCTATACCCAAGATACCACTGATGTCCAATAATTTTATTTTTTTTTAAGCTATGGGATTGCTAAAACAGTGGCTTATGCAGGGCCTCCTGATGCAGAGAGTTCCTTCCACTGATTATCTTTGAGG